AATTGAATGAAATGGCTTGAAAAATACAAAACCGCAATTTGTATACCCTTAAAAGTAAAAAGCTTTAAAGCTAAGAATCATACGAAGTAATCAGAAATAAGAATAAGACTTGATAAAGTGAGCCAAAAAGTTAAAACGATATAAAATAATTCCAATTGTATGTCTCTCACCACAAAGCATTCGCGTGTCATCGGCCGTTGGGTTTTCATTAAATTTTTTATAAATCAATTTAATTTAATACATATTGAATTTAGCCTAATTTGTTTTCGTTTCTTATCTGTTGTGTTGCCTTGAATTTCTGTTTCTGTCCTGTTGCTCGCCTGGGGATTTGTGGATGGTCCTTTGAGAGCACATGAGCACATTCGCAAGGATGCGGAGTGTGAGGCGTTTGCATGTGAGTTTGCGGTTGCTTCTGTGCTTTTCATGCAAATGAAGACCCATACAAAAACCCATCGGATTCCATTGTTTCGCTGCGTTTTCTCATTTTATTGCCTTTTCCTTTTATTGGTTGCTATTGAAATTGAAAAACACGACAAAAATACAGAGCAGGACTCGTTTTTCTGCTGTTCTGCCATTGAAACGCAAATAATTAAAAAACTGACTGAAATAATTATTCCTGTATTTGGTGCTCTCAATGTAATTTAACTTCTGAAATGGAAAAGTTTTCATTTACTCACTGTATTCTGCAATTTCACTTCTCCATTCGCAAGTTTGTTAATTAACCATGGACAATTTCATTAAAAAGAAACAAGAGAGTCAAGTTAAATGGGATGTCGATTTCCACTTCATACCATATATTTTATTTCTATATGTATTACGACTCTTAGCTCGTAGAAACTAAAGAAAATTTCATGGAATTTATTTAAAAACATCATGTAATATATATTTATATTTATAGAAACCTCATCCAAAATTCTAAATTCATTCGAATTTATTTCCATTCTTCTGTTAATAAGATTTCCCAGAAGGCAGAGTAATTCAATACGTGCTGCATGCTTTCCATTTCACAATCAAAATCTTAACTGACAGTTTCATCAACTTTCTTATCATCATACAAATAAAAAACCGCTGCTCTTACTTAACTCAGATCCTTGCTACTTGTGCCTTATTTCAGCTGAACAAATTAACTGATTGCGATAAGTTTTTGGCATAAAGCAAAATTACAGGAAATATGCAAATATTTATTTTCACACTAAGTCTTTACGATAATGTCGAGGAATAGCCTGCAGGTTGATGGCTCTGCGTGCCAGATAAAGGACATCGTGCAACAGGACAAGCATTTGCTTTTAATGCCCATGATTAGGGCACTTCAACGGAGCTGCTTCACTCTGTTTTCGTTGTCTACTTTTAGGCCATTTAACCAACAAGCACAAGTTAAAATGCCTTTGGATTTGATTCAGAGAAAGAGACAGAGAGAGAGAGAGAGAGAGAGACAATGAGCAGATTCAAACACGCGCAAAGATTGTTTAATGGGGCGTATGAGTAACGCTCGGTGTTTGGAATTATCAAATTAATGCCTGTACCAGTTTACCTACCATTTTCTTTTAGTCTATTTTCGCTTTAGAAAAAAAGTTGCTTTTCCTTAGAAAACTTTATCCTGCGCCCTGCGCCTGCCGGTATTTTACTTACAACGAGTATTTTAACTTTTTTATTAAATTCGCCCGCGCAAGATGGCCAAGTTTGTTCCTGTTGCACAGTCTGCTTTAATGCCAGTTAGCTTATTAAATAAATATTTGGCATAACTTTTGGGGTTTCCGATTGACTACATCAAAATGGCAGAAACCCGTCGGAAAAACAAAAAAATACGAAATCAACGCAAAGCCTGAACAAGATTACACTGTTTTCCTATAAATTGGTGCCTGCTTTAACGCCCTACTAAAGATTTAAACCCAAATTGGGTCATTAAAATGTCTGGAAACGGTACTAAACATGCGCACTTCTCTGTAAATCGTTAAAAGTTAACTTAAACTGTTGAAACAAACTTTTATTTGATGTCAAAGAAAACATTGTTTTGTTTTGGGAATATATTTATACATACAGTAAATGAAAGATAAAGTACAAAGAACGTTTGTGTTGCTTTGTCTCAATTTTTTTCTTTTTCATGGTTTACAATTGCGAGACTAAGGTTCCAAGTAAAAAAATTTAAGATTTTACTACTATTTATAAAGAATGTTTTTTTAAATAACGTACAACTTAAAAAACCATCTGGAGGAAGCAAATAGTTGATACGGAATATAAATCTCGAATCACAATCCATTGATTAATGATCTTTTTAGTCGGTAAATTTTTTTAAATTAAATTTTATTTATAATTTTAAATTATTATAAAGTAAGCAATGTTACATGGTTGATTATCAAGAAATTTGAACATTGTCCTTTTTAAATTAGACAGATGATTAACTTAACTGGTCTTACTAATTCGCATTATAATATAAATAATATTTGTTCTTAACTTCTGGATGAAGTTACTGGAAAACGGTCTTCTTTAATTGTTTTTGAAGCGGAATACATTGTATATTATCCTGATATTCCATTAGAGTTAAACAAAGATCATCTTATGTTACTTTTGTAAATATTCACTTACTTTACTTTATCAAAACTGCTTAATTTATGTATTTTTCCCTTGATATATTCCTATCTTAATCTATCTTGATTTACTGACCAAACCTTAGAATTATGAAATGTCTTTTACCATATTCCCAACACTTTGCCCTGCAATCTCTTCGGAACATCTGGCGCCATTAAGCTAACCATTTTGCCATTTAAATAGGTCTCCATTCGGCCATTAGCCTTCCAGTTACCAGTTATATTTGTAGACAAAACAAAACCAGAGACATTCAAAACAGAAGCTGCGGTCCTCCTGCCTTAATTATTTGAAAAGGGTAGGCATGTGGTAATACGAAATGAAACTGCCTAGAATTGGCTGGCTCTCAAATTGATTGCGATGCCGGGCATCACATGGTCGGATGACGAAATGAATAACTAAAGCCGCCGCATCTGTAAGGCAGTCATTCCACCTTCGGAGGAGTGAGACAATAAGGTGGCAATGTTTGTCTGCGGGTAGGTTAGGCAACACAGAAACGATTAAATTAAAATTGGCCTCAACCTCACATTTTCTATTCTGCGGACTCATGACAGAGATTTAAATGTGTCCCTATGACAAGGTATCACGTTGTTGGACTTTCTTAAAAAGGAAATGTATACACCTTGCTGTTATGGAGGTGTCTCAAAATTTTTGTACAGTAATATAAAATCCTACCTTGTATTAGACATATTTATTCTTTAAAAAAGAATGTATAACAATATCTGTTGTTCATTGTTGATACAAAGAAGCGGATACCTGGATCACACTTTGTATGGCTACTCTCTTTTCTTTATGTTACAAAGGAGCACGTCCTGCGATGCATCGAAAGTGCAGCAAAAATCCACTGTCGCAGGATTGTGAGGATGTGACAATGTGAGTCCATAAATACAGGCCAGGCACGTAGAAGTGACGTGCATGATGATGTATCGTATAAGTTTCGCCCCTTGATTTGATCTGGGGCTCAGCATTCAATAGACCATCCTCACACGAGTGAGCCAACAGAAGTTATGGGCAATCCTTACGTCCATGAATCCCTTCCACGTGCCAGAGTTGATTTTTAGCAGGACTCAGTCAGTAGTCGGTAGTCCGGAGAAATCTGTGTTCGCTATTAAATACCGTTGTAAAGCAACCGGAATTTGTTTACATCCTTAGGCCAGTGAGCAGGTTATTGGTAATGGTGTCCGCCCTCATCCAGGATTCGAGACACGTCCGTGACATGTTCGTGTCCGTATTCATACTTGTGTATTTATTCTTCGTCGTTGACACACGGAGCTCCTTTCGAATGGCCTCAAATACCCACCATAGGGCAACCAATGCACGTTTCAATAAATTACATTTAAAATATAAAATAAGAGCACAATACGGTGAAGGTGTGGAGAAAGCCCAAAAGAGAGAAACGGAAATTTCGAGGGACCAAAATCCTATTATTGCAAGTAGTTCAGGAAAAGGCCTTTACAGCTATTTTTTCAGCTTTAAAGACGTCATATCCCAGAATAACATATGCAAAGTATTGATATGCTAGCAGTTAGTTCTACGAATATCCTCTATGTCCTTTATGCTAATTGCATGTACTATGTTTATTCACCCAATTTGACTTAAAAGCCATAACAATTCAAAGGAATGTAATGTGGCCATAAATTAGCGAAAAACTCATCAAATTATTTCCATTTAACTCGCACCCATTTTTATGTTGCGAAGCTACCAGTCTACAATTTTCGCGGAAAATATAAATATGTATATGAAGCGCCAACAGTCTTAGACCCTCAAACTACAGACCCAAATGATTTGTTCTGTTCGGTTCCGCTGCTCCGTAGGTATATAATTCATTCATAAAATACGCACGATTCGGAGGGGACGGGAACCCGTGCCAGAATCACGTCCACAATGTTGACAGTCATGGATAGAGCCAAAGCACGTGGCCAACTCTGCCCACACTCCGTGCTCGCGGCCCATAGAACAGCGGCAATTTCCACGCAGAATTTCCCAAACAAAGCCTGGGAAATTTCCCACTGTTTCACATCAGAGAGAGAGAGAGAGAGCAAGAGATGAGCGGAAAACTAAGAGAGCGAGCGAAGTCGACGGCGCTGCTGCTGCTGTTTTCCACTTGGCTGTCGGAGCCAATGGACCAGTTTGGAAAATTCACACAGTCAGTTTGTTTTGAAATTTCGCCGCGCTTGGTTCGCCTCCGAGAGTTCACTGCTTCCTACCCAAATATATTCAAACACTGAAAAGTACTCCAGAAATAAATAAATAAATAAATAATACAAAAACTCACAACGTGTTATCGAATAAGCTAATCAATTTTCAATGGATGTCATGACTGGAAAAGTAATCGAAAATGTGTCGGGATATATTTAAATTTGTAGGTACAAATGTTTGTTTTTGTCAACTGCTATTCTAATATAAATATAAAAAAAATAGAAAATAAACATTAAAAAAAAACACTTGCTCACATGTGCGGCTTTGGGTTAAAGTTATTAAAAAAGCTTTAAAAATTATAAATGCAACTGCATCTAATTATAAGCTTAAAATGTGAAATATTAAGTAACAGAATGTGGGGCATTTCCTAAAGAAAAGAAAATCAAAATAAAACCACAAATAAAGGTTTATTTTACCTTTAAATTTAAATTGAATGTGCGCCAAATGGATTTATCAACTCATCGGAAATTGTGAATAAAAAGTAAGTAACTTTGTCACTAGTAGCCTTATTTTAAATAATCTGAATTAGTGAATGTTTCCGGAACGAATTATTAAGTTCATACGGGAGTTGGAAGGTCTACAGTTAATTTACAACACTTTTATTTTAAATATATAGGGATAATTTTACAAGGAGTCGATAAAAAAGAAATATAAAGTACGAATTTAAAACAAATAGAAACGAATTACAAATTTTAAATATGTTGCCTTCAAAACATTACTCACATTTCTTACTTTTTAACTCAGTTTGCTCAGTTTATTTAATCAAGCTGAAGTGAAACAATAAGTAAAATGCAAGAAAAACACAACACGCAAGAAAATGCAAGTTAATTAAAATAAATAGCTTAAAGTGCTTTTCACCTGCTCTGGGTGTGTGTGTGCGTGCAGGTGTAAATGCTCCCTTTTCGCGTTTGTAATCGAGTTTTTCGTGTCTGTGCAAATAAGGGCCACCGGAAGAAAAGAGCCAACGGAAAGCGTGTCTAAGCCAAGCTCGGTCTAAGGGGCAAAAAAAAACATTGCACCGATTACGTAATTAAAAGCAAATTTTCACAATGTCCCTGGTCCACGTCGTGACTCACAGAGAAAATTAGTAACGAAAAGTAAACAGCATTTAAACAGGATATTGGCCAGAAGTCGCAGAGAAAGGGGGAAAAACAACCGTGAGCTTATCCAGGACCAAAGTCACCGAGCGAAAATTAACTTAAAGCTAAGGAATCTCACAATCTGTCCCCGTTTTCTCGCTTTTTGCACTTCCTATCTGGGATCTAACCCCAACTCGCACATGATTACTCACATGTCAGCAGAAAAAGAAGATTTATTGCCAAGAAACCGAAAACCAAATGTTTGCCATTTCTCTTTGTTTTTGGTTACCTTTTGTTTTTACCTTTTTTTATTTATTTTTGGGAGCGAACCTCTACCTTTTTCCATTCGTTCTCTTCTGGGCTTGTCGGGAAATTAAACTATTAAGCTTTTTGCTACCGCTGCCTGCTGCTGCTGATGTGCGTAAAGTTTTAATGAGACATAAAGGACATGACGAAATTATGCCGGCCTTTGGGAAGTATCCCAGATCCTGCTATCAGAGCAGCTGTCATTAAGATGGAGCTAAAGCCATTTCCTCGCGGTCCGTAGACAAATTCTGTCCTACCAGATAAGTGGAAAGGCCGTAAAAGTTTAGTGGACCGAATGAACATAAACTGACGCTGATTACCTGGCGGTAATTTTTTTGTTTTTCGTTTGTCGCTCTCCAGAGTCTAAGGTGTTTAAGCCAGGTTCGAGGGTCTGTCAGCAACAGGCATAGAAGTTATGACACTTTTGGCTCAAGTGTTAACCATTAACATTGCGGGTTGGCCAAAAGGAATACTGTGTGTGTGTGTGACACCACGGGGGGGCTTGGGGTGAATTTCAAGGGCTCTGGTTACGCCTGAGGTTAGCCGCAAATCAGAAGGTTATTTAATGACTTTAAACAAATGTACCTGTTAAAAAGAAGACCTTAGAAAATGTATATATTTCTAAAAAATATATTCATTCATTTTAACTTTACTTTTCGTTGGTTTTTTTGTCCTATTTTCATATAAGCTTACTTTCAGCTTATGTTTATCCAACAGTCAAGACCATTCACCAAACAAAAAGTGATTTAAAATAACATATTTCGCCCAAGTAGATTAATTCGATTCAGCACATGTACTATACATCAAGATTCAATCAACACAATCAATATTTTATGCGTCAATTAAATATTTTAAATATTTTGACCATCCCATCATCATCTTTGTGCTGAACTTGGCGTGCGGCAACCAAAAGATATAAATTCAGACAAAGTATGAGCATTTATCTCTCCCGGGGCCTGATTCTTATTCAATTCTATTTATCTGGTCCTGTAGATTTATGGTCTTCATACGGGCGAACCAGAAAATTAACTAAGAGAAAAATCTAAACGCGTACTGCATTCAATTTAAATTCATTCACGATGCTCGCCTTCCCTTCTCCCACATATAATATTTCAACCTTATGCGCCGCCTTTATTAATCGCCTTACAGTTAAGTGGTGTATTTTACGACTCTTCCCAACGGTGCAAAAAATTTAATGCCCCAAACAACTTTTCTATTTATGTAGCTTTGAACTATGTTTGTACTTCCAATCAAAAATCTGATGCATAAATCTAAACAAAAAAAATCGGATTTGGTTTAAAAATAGGTTTGAACATTTTGTTTCTCTTTTCTTTCGATTAAGTCTTTAACATTTTCTAAAGTTTTCTACTTAAAAAGATATATGTTCCGTAAAGAAATTTAAAATCATAAAATTTATTTTCTGTATGGTGATTTAATTGAGTTTCTTAAAAGGAAACCAAAAAGAAATCTTATAACTACCCTTTCAAAATGTTATGATTTTCCTTTAAGTTTCATAATATATTTATATTAAATCAAATGATTTTCTCAAATAACACACAGAAAGCTAAGATTTTATTCATCTTTTAGATTTAGTTGTAATAGTATCTAAAGCTTTATAGTTAAAATAACTATGTAAGTTTCGTTAAGAAATAAAAGTTAATATAATTTACTATATCTATGGTGAGTTTATCTTAATTTTCTTAAATGGATACCTTCCCTTTAATAATGTTATGATTTTTTTTAAAGTTTGATAAGATATTTATATTAAAATCAAAATAAAACTCAGATAGCTAAGGATTTCTTTATTTATCTTTCAGGTTTAAATTAGTTGTTTGGTTGTCCTTACAATTAAAATAGAAAATATGCCTTTGGTATGTTTCTAAACACATTCTCCATACGTACACTTTGGTAATTTGTTTAGCGCAAAAAAATGTGTGTTTAGTTAGCGATTCGAAATGGCCCAAAGTACAACAAGTTGTCTGGGCGCCTGCCTGCCATTCATTCATTCATTCATTCGATCGATCGATGAACCAACGCCGATAATTAATCGTCTTGCTCGCTGACTTTGAGCAATTGTTGAAACATTCCTATGCCAAACGGGCATTCGGAAAATCCGCCCCCTCCCCCTTTGGCTTATCATTTAATTGGCTGCTGTGTAAATTGCTCACGAGCTCTCAAGTATTGGCAATCAATAAACGTTATTCAATATGTGCGACCTCTCGCGATTTCATATGATTTGTCAGTTTTTTGCGCGAACGCATTTATTTATTCAGCATCCTCATTGTGCGCATTTTGCATATATTTAAATTCATTTCCCATTACAATTTGTTGTGTTTCCGCTCGCCGCTTGACCATCACGAATTTATTTCATTTCATTTAATTTTTACGCGCACTTTTCATCTATTTTTCCGTTGGATCTGTGCAAATATGCAAAATGATTGACAGCACAATTAAGACGCCGCAAAACGAGGGAGTCTATCTCCCCGGAGGGGCATTGGACGTGGGGCACGGGGCGCAGGTGTGCGGGGCACGTGGCGGAGCTGCAACCTTATATGGCAGCAAAAGTTAACTTTTTTGCTATTCCCTCATCAAAAAAGCAAAAGCGCGTCGCAAAACATGTGTAGCAGCAGACAATGGACGCTTAATTTGAACATATTATATATATACTTTTCAGAAAGGTAACGAAGGTGATGTATCGCGATGAGTAGAGTCCTCCTAGAATAGTGTGACAATAAGCTAATGAATACAACAATGATATTAAAGTGTAAAAGAATATTATATGATGTAAGAACATGAGTAGACAATGTAACATAATTCTTGAAATTCACTGCACTCACCTTAAAGTTCCAGGTATCTTGAGTGTTGCTCAAGAACACAATAGTAAACAAATTCACAGAAATCTAAAATTAAGTTCACACTCTCCTGTATTCCTTTGTATTTTGGGTCAAATGTCACTATAAATTAACATAAACTCCGAATCGGCGGGGCATTAAATATATAAAAGTTTTGAGTATTCCTATTGCAAATGTTCCGCCATGGGTGCCAGCAATAGCAAGCCACAGACAGTGCAGTTGGCCAATCCCATCCAGATTACCCGTGATGTGGCGGATCGGATTAACCAAGCCACATCCAAAAACGCGAAACTCGGGACAAACACCTGCGAGACTTGTAGGCAGAGGGGCGAGACAGGAGCCATTGCCAGTACATTGGAACACAAGGCGATGGAGGCAGGGGAAGTGCAGGCTGTTAACGTGGCCAAGTCCTGGAAGAAGCGCTCCTCGGAGGCCGAGGAATCTCAGTTCGATCAGTCCGTGAAACGAATTCAGGAGCTCTTCGGCAAGCCAAAGACGTGGTCAACGGAATGCACAAGCGACATCAAAAATCTCGAGGATGAAGTCATCCACTGCTACCAACGGTATCCCAACGAATCCCTGCAGTGCTCCGATTTGGCCAAGCAATATAATAGATTTGTTATGGTCAGGCAGAACGACGAAATAGCCAAGATGAAAACAGATGAAGCCAATGAACCTATTCCGTTTGGGTAACCCAAAGAAAGTAACATAAAATTACAATCAGTCAAGTTGCATATAAAATTCCATTCGCTCAACGATTGGTGCGCCAATGGTTTCAGGGAAAACATCTCCGCGGCATTTTTAAATACTATATCTGAATGTATATGTACTTACTGGATGCTCAATTCAACCAAAAATTAGTTGCATACAGCCTAAATGTTTTATTCTTTTATTAGCCTTGGCTGATTGCCAGCAAACAAGAGTCGTCAAACAAATGAATGGCAACGTGAAAAGCATGAAAGCCAGAAAGTGAAACATGCATAAATAAAAAACAAACACGCGCCGTACACGTAATACCTCTGCGTTACGTTTCCCGTTCCCATTTTCTGCTTGTTTTTGCGGATAACGCGGCGTATGCGCGATGTGTCGCTCTCAGCCTTTCATACCTGTCCTGCGATTCATTATAAACGCATTGCAGGCGAAAGAAAACTTTGCCAAGTGAGTGGCCAGAGTGGGCGGTGTTTTGAGTGAAGGGAAAACCAACACAGGACTCGCACGGTCTTGGGCTCAACGACTGCCTTGAACTACTTTCCGCCACAATGTCTAGCTCAATGTGCATTAGTGCAACTTACTCTCGCCATTCCAGCAAATGATGTGCCACAGGGCACCATAGCATGGTGGAACACTCCTCGAATCTTAGGGCATAGAAAATAGAAACAAACGGTGTTTTGGATCTAAGAAAAATGCCTTTAACTAGTTAGTTTATGGACAAATTTATCCTTTTACGTGTGCGTTGAGAAAAGATTTATTTTTTAACTATGAGAAACTATGTATTGCAAAAAGTTTACTAGTTGAAAATTTATCCCAAACTAACTATAGTTAAGATATATAATTATTAACTCGAAATAGTTGTATTCTCTATTACATATTTGTCATCAGAGAGGCAGCAAAAATATTATTTTTGGCTGACTGTTTTGTTGCTCTTTCAGTTATCTTAGACCTATGTCTGTTGGAGAGTATTTCTACTCTCGACTTCCCAAATTAAATATTCCGCTTGCAATGAGAAGCCCTAAATCATCTTCCAACTTTTTGCGGGCGGCTTAAGTTCCACAGTCTTATTTCGAGATTTCCACATACTTGCCTTTTGTGAAGCGGTCTCACATTTTCCGCCATAAATCTGGACAATAAATGTTCTCCGGTTAGAGGAAAACCTGCCAAGTGCCAGAAGAGTTGTTACCGCCATCATATTTTGGAGCGAAATTGGATTTTCAACATTAAATTTGTCTCGCACCTCAGGCAAACAGAGAGTTTTCGCAATTATTTATGCAAATTTAATTCGAGCCAACGGAAAACTACAGAATAAAGCCATTCCATATATGTTTCTCCCCTTTTCCGGATCCTCCCTTCCCCAAAGTAAGTGGCTGCGAGGTCAAGTGCAGTCAGCTATTAGCGCCCAATGACAGAATCGTTGGAGCTATTTTTGCGATATCTGATGCGTTTTTGATTGAACTATTGAGTAAACTAGGCGGCTTGTTGAGAGCTGTCAGCGTCGCCAGACATTCGCATTTTAAATGCAATTTTCATGTTGTGAAAATGAATGGAATGGGAATGTATGCTGTTGAAATATATAAATGAAGCCTACTGGTTTTACATTTGCACACACAGCATATGCATACACATATTTATCTTTTTTATGATAAGTGTGTATACATTTTTTGAACGTGTGACTGAAGAAATAAGATCTGCAGGTCTCTGGCAAAGTTTGTTTTAAAATTTCGGCAGGCACACATTCTCTCTCACAAATCATGGGATACTAAAGTGTATTCGAATTCATTTGGTCTTAAAGTAAATTTGACAATTTGAGCAAAATCAAATAATAAACATGGGAGCTATTAACGAATAAAGTTTCTGCAACATCTTGTATTAGTCCCGCCAATAAGTGTTGCTCAACATGTTCCTAGCCACATTTTTCAACATTTTCTTATGGATTCCGCCTTATTTAAATTACGTTTTTTATAAATTTTAGCATAATTGGAAACAGGAAATTAGCCATATCCATGTTTCTTTTAATTTTAATTAATGCTTTGGCTAGACGTAACTTTTGACTTCAACTTTTCTACTTGTTTTATTCTTAATGTTACTATTGATAGTCGCCAAATTCTAAATCTTATCTTACAAATGAAGTTTTTGTTACATGTTTTAAATGAAGAATAATAGTTTTACAAAGTTTTCCAATTAAAAAATTATATATTTTCTTAAGGTTGATTTATTTTAAGATGTTTTCTATTGCGAGTCATATTCTTTTTCGATTGCACTACATACATAAGTGCCCCAAAAAGTATATATAATTTATTAAAATTTTTTTATCTATAGCAATAAATAAAGTTATGTTTTAAAATCCCCTATGCTACTGCAAAACAACACAAAGTAATTACTAATAGTAATACATGTATTTTTAATTATTTCTGTACCTCTAAATACCTGTAAAGCTAATGTTTTTAATTTTTTGAAATATTCATGGCTTTGTTTTCAATAATCCCATAATCGCCAGTCAATTGGATGAAAATGCAATGACAAATATTAATGGAAAGCCATCGATGCTGGTGGCAGCCACACAGTTCAATGCACGCTGCACATTTTATCTATTTTCCGACTGTGGCTTATTTGTCTCGCTTTCGGTTTCGGGTTCATTTGTTTCGGTTTGCAACGTGCCTCGCATATCTGCGATGAACGATGACTAGAAATGAACGATAAAGGGGATTCCCAGCGACTTTAGTGCACTCCTTGGGTTCATTTACATTCGGGGTCCAGTCAGATTAATGGTCTGGCATATATCTCACAAAAGATAATGCCGTCGGTTTCATTGCTTCATATCTTTGCACTGGCATCGCTATTAAAGCGTGCAAGTTATTAGAAAAATGCGTGAGAGGCGGACTATGTAGTAACGAAAAAAATGCCCCAAAATACTGAAATACCGACACGAAAACGTAAAAAACGAAAATTTATTGATGCTCACTTCCGCAAACAACCGCAAAAAGCCAGACAGCAAAAGCAGCAGTACAGGAAGCTATGTGTTCGAGCAATGAAAATAAAACAACATTAAAAATGCATAGCAATTCACAGGTTGGCACTAGAAACACACTTACTTACCGCCACAAATGTGTTTTAATTAAATAACTAAGAAAACAAATAATGTTTAAAGTAATAGCTTAATATAATGTATATTTATATCATTTGTTTTACTTCAATACCTGTTAAGAAACACACACATATTTATTTTTATTGTTCAACAAATACTTCATAGTTTATTTTCTCATACACTTTAAGTAAAACGTATTAAAAAAATAGTATACTAAAAAACAAACCAAAAATAGCAATTTTATTATTCCGATAAAACTTTTCATTAAAAAAATATGGTCATGCGCCATGACTTTGTAAGCATACCCCATAAGGAAAGCCAAAGCAATTGGAAGGGCAAACATTTATAAAACACTTTTGGCCATTTCTCTTCATTAACTGCATACCAGGCGAAAATAGGGGAGTCCCAGCAACCAAAATCCTTCCCTCTGAATGGTTCTCATTCCCTCCTTCATTCCTTCCCGTCGTCCTATACACAGAGAACAAAAACGTGCATATCTATATGGCATTACTTTACTTTACTTGAATTAGTTTATATCAAAACACAACACTTTTATTTCTGAGTTTGTTTTTAAGCAAGTGTTAATTTAAATTAATTTAAAAAACACTTGTTAATTAATCCCGAATTCTTGTGATTAATTCAAGTAATCGGTAATGCTAATAACGAATTTATGGCGAAATTAAAAACGTCCTATTTCGTATAACTATTTAGATACATATATGTTCTAGCGTCAGGATATTAAAAAAATCAAATCTGTAAATCACAAAATACATGTATATTATGATTTTCTCTGTGTGTACTCATCTCTTTCGATTATACTGGAAAAGTGCGTATTGCGGATGTCCAAGGGGAGGCGTAGTCGCTTAATGAAGTTTCCCGCCCAAATTCTTGTTGGCCACTTGATGGTCGGACATGGCGTAATTGATGATGAGGGATGGGAAACCGGCGACACTTTTGACAAATCACTAAACACAAAAAACACCGTCCAATTTAAGTGTTGTTGCTCTCGCTTATCATATTCGTGGATCATATTTTTCAAGGGCTCTGGTTTTCTGTTACGACAACAACAAAACGTCTGGGGTGCCATTAATTTGTTGTAATTCCATACGATACGGCTGCTTGAATATTACCGGCCAAGAAAGGGTATCCTATAGTATGCCTTTATGTATACTTATCAAATGTTGTCTATTAATAAAGCGAAATGGAAACCGAGAAAGATTCTGAAGGTGTGGAAAAATGGAAAATGCAACGCCCCGTTAATAATTAATTGCATAATTAACCGCAAATTAAGCCACACACGAGCGGTGGCAGCAGCAACAACACCACCAACCGTGGATAAAATAACAATAAAACACAATGTCAACACAGTTGGTAGCACACATTCGGAGAGATAAATAAGATGGATTCCGAGAGCCGCTGGTCACAGATCAGTTGGAAAAGTTGTATTCCACTTGAACCGATACTTTGCGCATCACTCGGCCGCGGAACAGCAATAAAACACAATAAAAACCATAAAGCAAATATTGAATTTCAAGCAAATATTATCTTTCCTGTTTTTGCTAGTTTTTTCTAGTGCTTGTTGTTGTTGTTGCATTTTTTGCATTGTTTGCTGCAGTCATGGACAGCAAAAAGTTGGCAGGAAAACGAGTTTTTCCACACGCTGTAGTGCCATCGATACAGCTTGGATAAATTAATGAGGAAAATCTGTAAATCTAGAACCGAATTTATATAAAATATTTGAAAGAATATCAAGTATTTTTAATTACATTAGTACATCATATGACAAAAAGTTACAGATTACGTCAGACATTAAATATCTGACTTAAATGTATATAGGTACTGGAGTTCTATTTGCTTCCCTTAAGCTGCTTGTCTTGTTCAAGGAGAAATGTTTAAACAATGTTAAATTATCTTCATACGAATATTTAAAGTTCCTCAGAAAGAGTGTTGGCCTTGAGGCGCTTAACAGCTATTCTGCGTTGAATTTGATTTCTTGAGAATGGAAGGACGACATCATTATTTTTAGCTGACATCAAGGCAAAGGCAGCTATAATTATGGCACTCGTCCTGCTCTCAGCTGCATAAATGTATCTTTTCTGCCGCACCCGCACCGAGACAAAGGCGTTGCAACGCCTCGTCAGTCAGTAAAGAGCCTGAGCCCTCGACTTTAAATTGCAGCGACATCATTAAAGCCATGTCGCACTAGGATGTGGATATACACATTTATGTGTGTGGGTGTACCGTACATGTGAAGGTGGATAAGGATGCGGGATGCAGCTCCGTCGCCACTCAAATTAAGTCGGCAAAGTGCACTGTCAAAGCGCATTTCATATGCATAAGGGAGCCCCACCCTTGTTTACCAAAGTCATCACTGTTGTTGGCCTACTTTCGGGGCCTTTAAGGGTCCGGGCGATTCTACCAAAAAATAACCCTTTAATAAGCGTTAAATTGAATGTCATCAAGCAATGGAAAAAACATAAAACTTGGGTATTTTTTTTATAAAGATAAATTGATGTATTATACAAAGCGACTAAAATATACCCTAAAATCATGTTTGTATTATATGGATCAAACCGAACTAGAATATCATATAGTTGTCATCGAAATGGTTTTTAACTTCCACAAAACACAATAATAATGGTGGAATTTTCCAACCTATTTCCGTATACTATAAGGTTTAATCATAATCATACAATTTAAGGATTTTTTATAAATAAGGAAGAACTACATCATATAGATATCATAGAAGCTTTCGTAAAATGTTTATGAAATGTGCTTTAATTATTTATTTATAAGTCTTAAATTTCTTTCTTATTTTCTATATAAAAAGAACAACATGTGACTTTCTGTTTTTTTTTTTTTTTTTTTTGTAACTCTGAAGCAAATTCAAAGAAATATCTAAAAATTAAATATTTTTCTATCTTTAAAATGGCTACTAAAGTTAGTTTCAAGGATTATTATTATTTAACAAGGGAATCACATTACCCAAACATTCGCAAGGTCTCCCAAACAAAGCGACCGCGTCCCATTTATTTTCATTTTTACTGTTAACCGAAGGAAAAAATGTTCATTTTCCCACGGAAGCCAGAAAAAAAATGTATATAATGGCAAGGGCGGATGCATATGTGTTTGCCATCCTGTGGCTATAACGCCACTCCCCCTCAAACCAACCCCTCCCATCCCCGACACTGTTGCGGTTGATTGGCCAAATCACTTGCCGGCAATGTTGTGCACTTTTTGGTGGGTCCCAGCCAAAATTCATATCCCAGGGCGGTGCCTTTTCACTTTGTGGATGTAAAAAAATAGTTTTAGAAAATGCATATCTCGTGATTGTACAATATTGCCGCGCGCACTCTCGTCATATTTGTTCTGTAAGGGAATATTGGTCAAAGAAAGGATATGGTAAAAAATAGTAGAAGAAACGTGATTCATGTTAGAATTCACTCTTGTTTATGAATCAAATGCTTCAATTATCTTTAGCACGTTCTGTATTTAGTTCTTTAAATTATATTGACATCATCATCATCAGATATTAGGTCTCTTAAAGGCTTAAGGACCTACGATCATAATAGTTATCAAGTTTTGACCATTGCTCGTAGAGCGACAACAAAATTCGCTTGCAGTATTCCGTCAAAGTTTTTGGCCATAATTTAAATTTCGTATTCTGGCACCACCAAAAGTTAACCGAATGCAACTGCCCGACACAGTGCTTGCATAAATCTTTGTGGGACCGCAGCATTTTTAATTAACTTTTGGACAGTGCGGGCGAGTGTGGGAACTCATTATCAGGGGCGACAACAAATTTGTGCAAGCCGCCAACGAAAACAAAATATAGTAAAGCACAGAGAAAAAAAATTGTAATAGAGGCAACCGCGTTCTAGGAGACCGCGTGGGTGACGGCTGAATTTGGCACTGACACAAGCACAAAAGCCTCATTCAAGGCTGTTTTCACAAAGGGGGAGGTGGGAGGATCTGTTGGAGGGACGTGCCAGGGCACAGGACTCTTTGTTCGCGGTGCCATTTCAAGCGGATTCAAATCGAGTCGCCAGTCGACGCTTGTTGACACTGCCATCGTCATCAACATCTCCATCATCTGATGCATCCCATCGAGCTCAACTCTTCAGCTGTCATCTATTGACAGGCGCCCACAGACGCCCCCTCCAATGTATTTTCTCTATTTTCTCTAATTAGAATATGTATCCTAATCGCTGATGGGGCCTCTATTTTGGTTGCCAGGCAAACACTCCCAGTGGAGAACTTGAAGTAATGACTTGTACATCACCAACTGATGCTAATATTCTTTTCTATTTTTTTAGGCAATTATTTGGTACTCAACAACAGCCACTTCAGGGAGTTGTTGTTGACGTGGTGAAAGTCGCACAGCTTTAGAATGAAATGGAGATGCAAAGCTACTCTGGTCTTGGACCAACAACAGCAGCTACAGCAGCATCAGCATCAGCAACAGCAGCAACTGCAATTGACACGGCAGCAGCATTCACAAAGCGACACTTCAATTGCCGCCTGGAAGAGGCGACTCGGCCTGAGGTCTGGCAGCCGCTTATTAGCTGCGAAAGCAGCAACGGCAATGGCAACACCTCCAGCATCCTGCCCGCCAGCGACATCCTGCCTGCCAGCAGCAACAGCATCATCATCAGTGGCAGCAACAACACATTCCACTGTGCTCTGCAAACATTCGATGAGACGGGGCAGACGGCATCCTATGGATGCGATGGGGAGAGTCCTTTGTCTGAAGCCTGCTCGCTGAGGCTGAAGGCGCGACTGTTGCGACTGCCACACGAGGCGTATGCGCAATTTCGACTGGCAATCAACGAGGCCCTCAGTGATAATGCGAGTGATACACTTAGTGATAGTTCGAGCTGCGGCAGCACAGGAGGAAGAGAGGAAAGTGAGCTGCACTGTGAGCTGGGAGCGGGTGCAGAGGAGGAACCCTTTCCCTGCCACTTGCAGCCACCACTCCTCCGAATCCAGGCAGAGCCGGGGGACGACTCTGCCTCGAACAGCAGCCAGCTTGAGGCCTATCAAATCGAACTGGGCAGCTTACAAGATGGCCTCTGGTCCTTCCTCAACCTCACCGATCTAATGGATCCCGGCAACGACACCTTCGCCATGGGAAATGCCACAAGCACCAGCCTGGACATGATTCTGTCCAACTACACGGCACTGACCACCACAGCAGTGGCCCCCACCGCAGTCACATCGAGCGATATGGGGGTTACCAGGAGCTTTTTGGACTACAGTCCCCACGGCTACGATTGGCTCTTCCTGTTTGTGGTCTTCTTCATCTTTGCCGGCGGCCTGGGCAACATCCTCGTGTGCCTGGCAGTGGCTCTGGATCGAAAGCTGCAGAATGTCACCAACTACTTCCTCTTCTCGCTGGCCATAGCCGATCTGCTGGTCAGTCTGTTCGTGATGCCCATGGGTGCCATACCAGCTTTCTTGGGTGAGTAAATGCTTTTCAATAATTAATTCATAAGTGCGAATTCGAACGTTACTTACACTTACCCTTCTGGCCTTCTTAAATCATCGCTTCAATTGCATAGCGTAACAATGGAACTTGTATTAATATGACATTTAGTGACTTCCTCTAAGGAAAGTTTTCATCTTCCACTTGGCTCTCGTTCGAGTGTACTTCGGCAATCAAGTGGCAATGCAAGTCAGAGACTAATGCATTTGCACATGAATTATTTCGACGCCATTTCCTCTCCACTCGCCGTTCATCTCGAGTCGCTGCCACACCCACTCTTCCGGCTCCGCCATTGTCATGAGTTGTTGGCTGCATCCGGTTTGGCTCACTTACACTTGCCCATCGAATGGCAATCAAAAATATTAATACCCAAGTCCTTAGCTATCAGTAGTTTACTTTAGACTGATATATTTTATTTTAAATAATTTAAAAACTGTTAAACTTTTTAGCTCAAGAAGGTTTCCGTAATATAGAAATTATAATTACCATTTGTTTTCATAGTTATTCTAAAGAACTCAATCTTACATTTCAAGTTAAATGCAAGTTAATAGATATGAAAGATTTGAAAATTCTTGTTTTTATTATAGTTTGTTCAGCTTTTTAACTCAAGAAGGTTTGCGTAATATAGAAATTATAATTACCATTCGTTTTCATAGTTATTCTAAAGAACTTAATGTTACATTTTAAGTTTTATGCAAGTTAATGGATATGAAAGATTTGAAAATTCTTGTTTTTATTATAGCTTGAAAATAAATATCCTAAAAAATGTTTATACCTTTTTCATCAGTGTAACAACTGCGAAAGCAGCAGAAGCAACAAACTAAAATGACAAACGCGTGACTTCCTTTGCTGATGTTTGAATTAGGAATTCATTTCTTCCTTCTACACGTTCTCCCCAGCGGTTTTTATTTTTTATTTTTCCAGTGCAGCTGTAAAAACTTGAGTGGCAAAATAGAAGTGGTGTGTGTGTGTGTGGAAATCACTTAATGTCGGGAAATTTTAATCTTGGATTCCTTGTAATCTTTAAAACGAGAAAAAAACGCCAAGTATCGGAATCCCTACTCATTGCCCTTTAAATATGTAAAATGTTCGGTAAACACATTCAAACTAATTTGCATATGGCACTGATAAAACCTCAAAACAAAATCCCGGACCCTCTCCGGCATTTTTATCCAGGACGGGGGAGAAAGCCAACGTAGCATAAACAGATCAAACGTTCGCATAAATTAGGCGTGCACTCATCGTCCTGCCAGGACCCCAGCCGAAAAACCAAACCCAAACCCGTACTCATCGCATCTAAATGGATTGAGTGCCAGTCCAAGCACATTAACAACATTGTGGAAAACTCATTTTCCTTTAGAGCACATTAGTTTGCATCCAGTGCGCTGACATTTTAATAATGTAAAGTCTACTTTTGGGCCATTAGTTAGGGGTGCGAATTACGCGAGTCGCTCGCTTGGCTTTAGATCCATAGAAAAGGTCTCCGTTTTAGGAAAATAAAAAAACTTTTAGTTTATTTTAAATCTGTTTAAAAAAATGCTACACAATGTAATGTAAAACTAGCTCCAAAGGTTTCAATTACCAATGTTCAATTAAAAGTTATTTCTTGTAAATTTGTAAAATTAAATAGTTCTGTAAATGAATTTATATACATGCAACACTTTTCACGCTTTTCAAAGTTTAAATAGTAAATGTAAAGTGCAGAAGTAAATTTGGGCAATGGAAATTAATTTAGCATTAGAAAAAGGCATAGATGTCGAGTTTAAACCAAAGGGCGCCTCCTTAAAGTCCTTCCAAGTCCCTTGGTTTTATGCATTTTCCGCTGGGAAGCTTTTTTCGTCGACTCTATTGTTTATTTTTCGGTTGCACTTTGGCCGCGCCGCATTTTATGCAACTGTTTTTTTAATGCTTACTTATTGCGTCACTGTTAAGGCCCATTCGCAGTCGCAGGACTTAAGGGCAAGGTCTGTTATTCCACTTTTCTCTTTTATTTTTTGTCTTTTTTGTGCTAAGAAGTCGACGACAACAGTAAACTAAATGTAACTAAAAGCCTTAAGTGTGGTTTTAGCCTCTGCAGCAAACAATAACAAAAACATCTGCCTGAGCATCTGCCAACAATTAAGCCCAAAATGGGGGCAGCCGGAGGCCTTTAGTTTATTTTAACATCAAGTTTATATAAACATTAGTTATTGTTTGGGCCAGGCATTTATTTATGTCCCACACTCGGGGCATTTAGAATTTGAAGCCAAGCTCGAAACAGACTTTTGTAGCCACATTAGCTTTGTTTTCGCAGGTCAAAGCCATTAAAAGTGTTGTATGGATTTGCGGAGTGGTCGGGAAAATAAAAAAACCAAATTTACCACAGACTTAACTAAAAGTATGCTATAAATTAAAGCATGCCTTCGCATGGCTTTGAATTTCGGGCTTTACCTGGCATTTATTTTAGGACACAACTTCGGTTAAAAAGTTAATTTTTTATAGACTTATAATATGTATACTTTCTGCAGTTTCAGATTTAAATGTTCACTAAATGAATTTCATACAGGGAAAATCTTAGTAGCTTGTAAAAGACAAAGCATTAAAAAATAGCAAATAACTCTGCCTCTTTTTAAAGGTAATTGCATTATATAAAGAGCTCTTTCCAGAGGAAAAATCATACAGAAGAAAAATTAAAAACAAAATTAATTGATTCTCGTAAACGAGGCTTTAAAAACCAAGCGTCTGTGGTTAAAGGTTTCTTACTGACCATGATATATTTTGCTCTGGTAAATTGACTATTTAATCTATATGTTGTGATATTTATTTGACCGCATCTGTATTTGTTTCTGTGTCTGCCACTCGAGTTTTCTCATCACCTCGCCGCACCACATGGCGTATGCGTAATAAACACATTGACAGGACCCCCTGTGTGTGTGTCAGTGACAAGGACATAAAACTAAATACGATGATGGTCACCCCTTAGCCACCCACTCGTGTCCTGTTTTGTCTGCTTTTGTTTGAGGGAAAGGGCCCTCATGTGCCTGTCTCTGGTCGAATAGCCCAACATCCAGCAACACCCGACGCATTTAAGCGCAATTTGTACTAATTAATACTGAATTCGACTCCCTCCAGGGCAGCAATTGAGTTTTTGCTGGGTCTGCTCCTCCTATTGATGTCAAGGTGAATGAGTCAGTCGAGTGTTAAGCAAAGGACGCACAAACGGGTTGAATACGAGTTAATGTGAGACATCAGATTGGAAAATCATCACCGATTACTGACTATCTTGATGGGCATTATTCTATTACCTTTATATCAAAGTAAACCTTTTAGTCCCACAATCGATGTTAAGCTTCAAGCTTTAAATGTAACCTTTGAAGACTTTAAATTCTGAATTGGACATTATCATTCACTGTTGCCTTTGCTTCATTTACACTCTCTCCTTCATATCCACACATTTCTGCACAGACTGCAACTAGCAAGGACTTGGCCTGCCCTCAAATCGCAATAAACAATTCCATTTCTTAGAGTCCCTTTAAAGAGTTTTCAAGGCACCTTCCGCTTTGAAATATCAATTAACCAGTGGGAAGCACCTGCCGCGCCTCTATTAAACTTTCTTTCAGCTTTTAGATACATATATCCAGTAGGTTTTCAGAGCGTGTGAAACTCAGCTCTCGTTGGTGCAGATTTTTTATTAAGCTTCCTCAATTTTGCTTTGCAGGATATTGGCCGCTTGGTTTTACCTGGTGCAACATTTACGTCACTTGCGACGTATTGGCCTGTTCGTCGAGCATCCTGCACATGTGTTTCATCAGCCTGGGCCGCTACCTAGGGATACGGAATCCTTTGGGCTCTCGACATCGATCCACAAAGCGGTTGGCCGGCATCAAGATAGCCATTGTCTGGGTGATGGCCATGATGGTTTCCAGCTCGATAACCGTTTTGGGTAAGTGTGTCGATGGCAAGTTACAGGAAGTTATTTACTAGACTCTTGGACATTCAGGTCTGGTCAACGAAAAGAACATTATGCCCGAGCCCAATGTCTGTGTCATTAACAATCGAGCCTTCTTCGTGTTTGGTTCCCTTGTGGCCTTCTACATCCCCATGTTGATGATGGTCACCACCTATGCCCTGACCATTCCACTGCTCCGAAAGAAGGCAAGGTTTGCGGCCGAGCATCCGGAGAGCGAGCTGTTCCGCAGGTGAGTACACTGAAAGAAGTACATGTAACGCATGAAAAGGTATAATAAAAAAGGTAGAAAATAATGAGCAGGTAAAGCAAAGAAATAGAGAGAATCTCTCTTAGTGTATATGAACAGCTTCCTTGACATTGAAATGCAATTAACATCAGAAAAGTGATCCAATAAAATAGAGTAATGCAATAAAGTCTCATGTTAATGAAGCTTCTCCATCCATGGTGGACTCTCTTCAATTCAACTAATCAATACTGTTCAATTATTCTATGTAACGGTCTTCTTTCACTTTTCATCTGACTGCAAACTTGTCCAAAGGTTTTCAGTAAATTTCCGGGACTCAGACTTCCGTGCTCAATCTTTTTTTCCCTTTAAACGAGGCAATTTTCGCCACTGATTGGCTGTCGGAGACCAATAGGAACCTGTCCAAGCGCGTCAAATTAGCCTTAACTCAATCAACCACTATTTCGCACAGTCATCTCTTTTCATTTAACACTTCGGATACACTAAAAATAGGTTCTGCAGAAAATTTAATATACATATTCCAAAAAATGTGTGACCACAAATCTCAAAGTTCCGTTGTATTTTGTGAAAATCAAAACTACCTTGACAAATTTAACAGATACTTAAATGACATAAAAAGTATTATATATTAGTTAAAAAGCAATTCTACAATTGCTTAGCTAAATCAGATATGTTCTAAACTATATGTTCTCTAAATATTATTGAGTAAAGTGAATAGTTTTTGCCTAGTGTAATCACCTTGAAATCCTATTCTTTTGCCAGGCTTGGTGGACGCTTCACTATAAGGCCGCAGCATAGCCAGCAACAGTTGCAAATGCACAGCAGCTTCTCCAGCGGCAATTCTAAATTTCTGCCAATGAGCGACAGTAATCGCAATTTCAACAATGCCGGAAATGCACTGGATGGTGCAGCTGGAGGAGCACCTGGTGTTGGGATCAGGGGTGGTGGCATGGAGGCGGCCGAACGTCCTTTAATGCAACAGCGAACGACGAGCAATAGGAGCATCGGCAGTGTCAGCTTCCGTCACGTGGCCAATGGCAGTGGCGGAAGAGGTGGCACCAGGGGCTCAGCGACTGCTCGCAGCAGCTTCCGGTTCACCGGCGGAGGGATCCTCCGGCACTCGTCCTCACCAGCCTCCAGTAGCCACTCCACCGGGAAGGCGCAGTCCAGCAGCTTCTGGCGGAAGCATGGCGGCAACCCCAACCTAATGGACAGGTAAGTGGGTAACACCTGAAAACTTAATTAAAAGCTCTGCGTGATCTCAATGCAAATTATGATCGAAATAATTGCGACAGTGTAGTGAAAACAAAGCTATGATACTACTAGTATTATATTAGAATCTAGATACAAATACTAGACAAATATATATGCCATATTTGTAAGAAATTCGTCTTATCATTTACATCAATTATGATTTAATTAGATTTTGATAGAGGAAATTACAAATTCAAAAATGAATAATATCCTCCAGACTCTTGGAATATTTAAGATATTTTTAGAGTTTACCAAAGTCTCTGACTCTGACTCACTTTTAATTTTAAAGTCGATTAAATAGAGCTCTGGAATTGTATTTTCGTTTATTTTTGTAAACCAACTTATATTTCATAATTTCGGACAGTGTGAAAAGCATTTGATTTTAATTAGATGTGCTTTGAAACCCAATTATTGTACTCCCCTTTTGAATTTGATTGCCATCTTGACCACAAATCGAAATCATCCATGAAATTGAATGCTACTATTGTGGGCTCAACCGCAGACAAATCGCCGTCGTGTCACAGGACTCGTAAAGCAAATTCCCCAATCAATGCAGCAGACCAGAAGGAACCCCAAAACAACGAGAAATAATAAAAGCAAATAACATGTTGATTATCTCCTGTGCATACAATGCTTTTAAATTTATTACATTTGTTTTACAAGACTTTCCCTTCCGCCGGGTGAAGTTTTCCGGGAGGCGAAGGGGGAAGCTTTCGGCGCCATTATGAGCAACTTTTGCGACTACTTTCGTTTTGGGAAATTTACATAATTTGAAGTGTTAGTGCAAAGAGGGTTTCTTGTTGCCGTTTGGCTTGGACTTGCTCTGCTCCTGCTCCGAAGAAGGTTTTGTTTGCATTTGATTTAGGGTCTTTTGGTGTCCTTTGACATATGCATGTTATGTACCTCTACAATAAGGGAAATCATAGTGAATCAACTAAATTGAAGACTTGGAAAATGGACGAATTTTTTGATTGTAACTAATGCAGGTGATGGTATTTAGTTGTGGCCTTAAATATTTAAATATTTAATAGTATATTCACAGACTTTATGTGAGCACGGGTAAGCACCGTCCCCTTCCAAAGCTCCGAACAATCAATTATATATCTTGGAGCAATTAAATTCACATTCACAAATGTCGGACAACATGGCGTATACATCGTACATAATTCGGCACGCCTTGCCTCGTCTGGTCTGTTGCACATAAATCACTCATACGTCATGTGGTGCAGCGGGACACGGAAAAAGATGCAAACACGAAACCGTTTGTCGCACCACTTCAGCTGCTGCCACATTGTTGCTGCCAGGGCACAATAAATATCGCATAAAATGCAAAAAGGGAAGCCTCAAGAATGGAACAAATGTGGCATTCAACATTGTTGCCAGCACTCTCCGAATAAAATGACGGCCAAAAAGCATCCGCAATGAAAGCAAAGTGCAGCCAAAAATGCCACAGAAATTTGCAATGACTTTGCCTGCTGCTTGTCAGCAGAAATTCTAACATAACCAGAGTCAGAGGCGAAGTAAGTCCTCGAGTTGGACAAAAACAAAAGCTGATGAATGTCACGTTTATGCGCTCCGCCTTTTTTTGAAATTTTCGGCGTGTGACGAACAAGTTTCCGCATAAATATATGAATTCCTAATGAGCCCAGAGCTCAGGTTGAATCCCTACGACTCCACCCGCCAAAGGCGACAACTTTTCCACCCTTACTACAACGAAAAAATAAAAGGAAGGAAAAAGGCTCAGAGCAGGGGTTGGAAAACTTTTCGCTTTGCAAATTATTAGTTGGACATTTGACGCCACTTGGGCGCTGCTTATTTAAATGTTTCTGCCTCTGTGCCGGCGCCAGTCAGAAATTGAAAAACTTTATGCTTTATTCGCTGAGGCAGCAACAGTTACAAAGTCCCTGCCCGCCTCATCGTTTCAAATGCAAGGATTCCGGGGCTGAGGAATGCAATCCTTTAGTTGGCCTCCAAAAAAAAAAGCTAGCTACATTTTGTCACCAAGTTTTTCGGGGTGAGCTATCAGCTGTCTGAGTCACTTAATCTGGTGTCACTTGATTACATGAATTATAATATTAAAAGAATACGATTTATTCATGCATAAGCTTAAATCTGGATCTCTTTTTCGGAGCAAATCTCTGTTTGTTAGCAATGCTTTTTTGTAAAGTATTGTAAATAAAATATGATTGATTAGGTGATGCATTTTGGAATTTATATTTTCACGATTTATTTTCTTTTCCCTTTAAGTTTTACAAGTAACCCAATGTATGTAGCACACAAATAAAGTTCCTTTAAACCAACTCCCTTGGTTTTTCTATGCTAGGCATTTGGGGAAATCCCTCCTAAATGGGACCTCACTTCTTTTTCGTTATTCTACTTTAGCACTAACATAACTTTCATTTAATACGTCACTCTGACGGCTGTTTTCTCAACCATTTCCATTTCCATCCGCCCATCTGGCGAACAAAGCGTTTAGCTAAATTGCCAGATCCAAAGCTCTATAAGGATTCATATGCAAACAGATCCTGGTGGAGACGGTCCTCACAGGCCTCAAACCCGAGAAACTGAAAGTCATTACATTTGGCTGTCTCCCCCGGAAACTCCTCTGCCCCCGTTCATTACATTAAAAGTCAATTTTATCAACTGTTGAGTTTGGTGTCAAAGTCAGAAGGGTCCTGGCAATCAAAGGACTCAAATCTAATATCAAACACTCGCTAAACAAAAAAAAAGAAAACAATCTAAATATGCGGCTTTGTTTATACAGAGAGAGAAAAAAATGTTATTCGTAATACTTATTCTTTCTTGTGGGTGAATAATTTGATTTTTAAATTAACTTTAAACATTTAACATAATAGATATAAGAGTATAAAATAGTTTTTTAATTTTGGTTTTCATTAAGCCTAACTCTGAGTATACTCTACTCCTGCTCCTCTCATATTTCAACTCCTGTTCTTCCTTCTTCTCCACAGCCATCCAAACCGACGGGCCTCTGTGCGTGTTAGCATCTCTCAGCCACAATTGGGTTACCCGACAAATGGTAACGGGGGTGGAAGTGGATCTGGGCCTGGAGGAGGAGGAGGTGGCAATGGTACAGCTGCTGCTGCGACAGCGAGCTGCACAACTCCTGGGGGCAATGGCTCCGGAATGATGAACATTGCCACCATTCAGGGACAGGGCTTGGGTCTCAACCAGAGTCAGAGGGCTGGGAGCAATCATCAGCTGGAGCAGGTGAGGCCTACGGCCTCGAAACCTGATGAACGGCAGCGCCACAAAATGCGGCCCTTTAAATTTGCTTTAAACCGCGTGGCAACGCCCACGCTCAATTTGCGGTGAGTGATGCTTGAAATTCAAGAAAAGTCAAGAAAAGTGTTAAATAAAAATGAAATAATTTGGTCAGAATACTTATTGTAATTACATTAATTTACTTTCCCTTTTACAGTTTCCTAAACAATCGCAGCAAGAGAAACAGTCTGTCGGCCAATGCGGTGGCCACCGAGCAGAAGGCCACCAAAGTGCTCGGCCTGGTGTTCTTCACCTTCGTGCTCTGCTGGTCGCCGTTCTTCATCCTGAACATCATCTTCGCCGCATGCCCGGAGTGCCAGGTGCCGGAGCACGTGGTGAACACCTGTCTCTGGCTGGGCTACGTATCCTCAACGATCAATCCCATCATCTACACCATCTTCAATCGCACATTCCGGGCGGCCTTCATCCGCCTGCTGAAGTGCAACTGCGAACGGTGAGTTGGACACCAAAGTCAGTTGTGAGGGAGGAGAATTGGGAATCGGAGAACAATTTATTGTTCCGGAGAGTGCACTCTGCTGGCAATTGATGTGCAACGTGACGTATGATTGATTTTAAGGGATTTGTATTTTGGCATTGAAATCAATGCTTGCTACTTCTGCAGGCGGTGTGTGTGTGTGTGTGTGGCAGCTAATGGATGAACAGCGATTAGACATCGAGCTTTGTCCAAATAAATTAGGGAGAATATGGTTGAACTAAGCAAGGAGTAGGAGAAATTCAATATACCAAAGTGCTTCTATACTTCTCGGTTAGCAATGAAATAAAGTAAAGTAAAGTATTTCACCAGGAGTCTTTTTAATTAAAAATTGAAAAATGACTGAGTAAATTGAACTTTTTTTTATTATATTAAACATAATAAACGAAACTTTGATTTTTCATATGAGAGATATCGGTTTTACTAAGCTGTTTCTGGCAGGACGCCCAAAGAGATCTTTAAAACAATCTCTCATTAGTTGGTTTTAGAAACATAACTTCTATATATCCCAACCAACTTATACTCTGAACTTTAGCTCTTTATTCGGAGAGATTTCCCCTGGTTGACGACTAGGTGAAAGTCTGTTTCCTGCAGAAATCATTCCATATTTGCTGCTTCTCCTGGGCATGATTTTGTTGCACCATATCGAAACTCTTTTATTAGAGTATATTGCCTACCCGCTTCTATTATTATTTTCTATTTTATTTATTAATTTTGAGCTACTGTATATCTGCTTCTGGAGAATCTCCGCGACTAAATGGCACAAACATTTCAGCCGACTTATGAGGGGAACAAATAATTTGCGTAACCTTACATGTTTACTTGTGGGCTTTCCTCCGAATCTTTTTTGTATAGAAAAAATAACTTGTAAAGGCAAAAGCCAATAACCTTGTTATTGCCATCCCATTGCAGCTCTGGCCGCCCGCTGCGTTTCCGTTCCGTGACGGAAGGACGAAGTGCCCTGAGCCTGTGCGCCCCCTCGGCCCTGCCACTGGCCATATCCTTCCAGGGAGCGCCTCTCATGACGCCATCGACGACGAATGCTACGCCACTGAGCGAGTTCCGCGGCGGCTACACAATCACCGACGACGAATGCTGAGCCACCATGGGCCGCATCCTTCTCTTCTGAATAAAATACGAATTTATACCGAGTAATGAGCGAATCTAACGGAGTCAACTGTACTTACCGATTAGCCGATAAGCATACAAATTACAGGGTGATTCACCAAACCAAAACCTAATCACAATCAAATGGACGACTTTTGTAGCAACTACTTATAAAGCGGAACACAAAACTTAAATCTCATCCATATCATTCGTATGCCAATGGGGGGAGAGCACCAAAAAGAAGGATAGAGTGAGGAGTGAAGTGACTGTACCTGCGTTTCATTTCCACATTTCCAGCATTATTTAGCTTTAGTCATTGCTGTATTTTAGAGCTAAGCAAATATGTATATGTGGAAGCGAAGTAAAAAAACATAATTAGATTTAAAGAAGCATTGAAATTACCCATAGTAGCTGTGTTTAGTAGTCGTTAGCAAGCTAAGACCCTCAACCGAATTGTAATTCTACTATTAAGAAATTTAATTTCCCACACATCCACCCTCGATGCCTATTCCAAATGTCCTTGCAGCCTTGCTGTTCCTTTAGTTCTTCCTGTGCGTAGGTGTCTGTCTGTAGTAGGCAAGCTAACTGTTGAAGAAATGAATTGCAATACTTGATAAATAAATATGAACAATAAGAACAAAAACCAGAAGCAATACTTTTCGTAAATGGATAAGTGAATAGGTAAGCGAACCCTTAATTTTAATCACTTATTGATTTCTACACAAGGAAAACTGAAAAGCTTAATGGAAAGCATACCAAGTAAATGCGTTCTTCTTATATTCATTAATCGATAACAAATTTTAGAAAATAACAGACTAAAATCAAAGACATCAAGAGTCATGGAAGGACAACAATTAAGTTTCGCGGCTGCAACTCAGGCCGAGCTGGAGAGAAACATATGTACATATACGAGGACATTCGGAGCAGCCTCAATGTGTCGGGCCTGGGGCGTATCTAATCAAGATATGCGAGTGTAAGGAGGACTTAAGTGCTTTACGTCACAGTCCCACTAACCCCACCCTCTTTAAGCTTTCCACCCGCACAAACAGAAATTTACCCCTACTGTCGCTTCGGTTACTTGACAAGCGCATTAAACTTTGTAGCTGGCTTCAATAATCTCGGGGCTTGCGCTCATAAATGCCATGAAAACTGCATTATTGTCATGAGTTTAATGCAATACGAATGCTTTTATGGGTGCCCATGCCAACGAAGAACCGAATTTCTATACATCCGTTTTATTCCTTTATTATACACGATGCATGAACATTGCAGAAAATACAGAGAATTTGCACAGACATATAAAGACGTTAGAGAAGATACATGTATACAATTAAAAAAAAATTGAATAAATTATAGCTGATTTTCTAAAACAAATTCAATTGATTAACATCCGAAAATTGCACGAAATAATAATCGAACATAAAATCAAAATTATCTGAGTACCGGGTATCTGATAGTCTGCGCACATTCTTTAGTCTTTAATATTCGCAATGTTTGTCAAGTGAACTGAACCGAAATCAGAGACGCTGGCAACAGAAACGGACTGACAATGACTGCTTTAAGTTGCAGTTGCCAGGACAAATTCCCCTTGTTGCACATCGTGATCTAGGGATCACATTGGCGGCTCTAGGAGCTCCAAGAACTCCGAGCTACTCAATCCGCTAAGGCGACACACAAAAGCCAGATGTCGCAGAGTGCTAAAAGTGACAACAACAAACTTGGTAAGAACAATTAAGTTGCCGCTGACTGACTGTTGTTTATGTCTAGGAGCAGACTTGGTTCACCGTGAAATTGATTGCATCGCTGGAATTTTATTCTCTTTACTCTTGCCCTTTCTATGTCCTGCGGCATCAAGTGCCTCGACTAAACCGGATGCTGTCGTTGGCTGTTTTTTGGTTTTTAGCTAAGCGGAATTTTTAAATGTACTTATTATTGAACAGAATAAAAATGTATTGACATAATTATTTATGTTTCATATATTAATATATTCCAAAATAAAAGCAATGTTTTGTAAGTTGTCCTTGTTTAAAACCATTTTGTTTAAAATGGGCAACTTTTTAAAATTTTTTGTGACGAAACGGCTAAAGTTAATATGATTGTTTAACTTTCTTACTATTGATTAAAGTATAAAGTATGTCCATAGGTACTCAAGTGGCGTTTTTTTTTTCAGATTTTTATAATCAAACTTAGAACCGATTTTTGACTCAAAGTATATAAATAATAATAAAGCTAACCAGAAAGGAGGCTAACTTTGGCACGCCGAAGTTTATATACCCTTGCAGATAGAACTTCGATGGCTAGGAATCCATACAGTATAAATTATATATATTTATGTTAAAAAACAATGAAGTAATACCTGCTTTCATTTCATTCACCTATACATTTTAAATTTGAAGTTATACATTCACATATTTGCATTTTTCCTCCACATCTAACGATCGTTTGTACTGCACCTACATATATGATATATGTTAATCGTCCGATTTTCATGAAATTTGACACAAAATTAAAGACTAATATAAAAACGCTTTATCTATAATTTGATGAAAATCTGTTGAAAACTGAAAAAGTTATAGTTTTTAATTGTATTAATTTCTCGATCGTTCCTATGGGAGCTATATAATATAGTAGTCCGATTTTTATAAAATTTTACACAAAATTGTAAAGTAATATGAAATTGATATATCTTAAATTTAATGAAAATCTGTTGAAAACTGAAAAAGTTATAATTTTGAATTGAATTAATTTATCGATCGTTCCTATGGGAGCTATATGATATAGTAGTAGTAGTAAAAATAAAATACCCATTTTATTAATAATCCATTGCAAATAATAAACGCTTCGGCTGGATGCACTACTAGTTAGCTTATTGGAGTGTCTTTTAAACCGGAAAATCTTTTCCCGATTCTTAGCGCTACCTATCGATGAGGCTCCTTTAAGGTGCTGCACAATGCTGAGGTCCTGAACGATATTGCTTTTCCTTCCCTATCTCCGGAAGGAAAAGCTAATTGGTGAGCAGCAGATGTTTCCGTTACTATATTTTTTTAAATTTTAGTTGTTTCTCTTACATATGAATACTTGTAAAAAAAACTTCTAGGTCCATACTTTAAATCATGATAAACTTACATTTTTTTTTTTAATTTTTATGCTTTTGAAGGGTATCATAATTTTAGCCAGAAGTATGCAACGCAGTGAACGAAATATTTCCGACCCCATAAAGTATATATATTCATGATCAGCATCAAAAGCCGAGTCGATCTAATCCTTCGATTATGTCCGTCTGTCCTTCTGCCCGTTAAAAAAAAAAAAATAAAAACTTTCCCGTTTTCAAGATTTTGCAGATTTTCATAAAATTTTAGATATAGCCATTTTATATTATTTACAAATTTCGGTTAAAATTTTATATTAATCTATTTTATCATAGATCGAGAAATTAATACAATTAAAAATTTTTAACTTTTTTAGTTTTTAACATACTTTTATCAAACTTGAGATTTTTGGTTTTCATTTTATGAAAATCGTGAGACTATGTATATCATATACCTAAATGTAATAAAAGTTGTTTTTTTTAAATAAATATATATAATTTATATTGTATTAATTCCAAGTGATCGAACCTTACGTGTGCCAAAGTAAGCTTCCATTCTTTTTATTTTAAATTATACAGAAAAAATATTTGTTAATTGTTGTTTGTTATTTTTTTTTTTTTTTTTTGTATAGTAAATTTAAGTAAAACTGTACATAAAAAGTAAAAAATAAATACAAGTTATTTATGAATCCATTTAAATGATTGTAAAATAATTGTTCCGCTAATTGTATATATAATTTTGCGATATTTGAATTAGAAAATAAATTACAAAAAGAAGAGTTAAGAAGTGATAGACATTGGATTAGAGATTAATATATTAAAACAAATTAAAGAAAAAGTGAAAGATAAGTCAATAGATAGATGATGAAATATTACAGAAAAAAAATTGACTGATTAGTTGATAGAGATTTTGTGACATTTTAATAACAAATTGATAATTATTCCCCATTCCTCCAAATTGTTAAAGAGTTCGACAGTCACAGCATTGAGATCATTGAGATTTTAGGGTTAACCCTTTTTTGGAACTTATATTACAATTTTATTCTAAGAATGTAGTTTCTTGGCTTATGTTTTTAATATACAATTAATAATAGTTAACAGTTATTTGTCCCGAAAGTGTGTATAGATGCCTATATCATTGAGGTCACTTAAAAGAAATATTTGTTTTATCAGAAGTATAATTTAATTAATTTGAATTATTCTGAGAAAACTGGAAACGATAACTAACCGCTATATAACACTTCAGACGACTAAAAGTAGCTAGATTTTAACTTAGTATAGTCGAAAGTGTTAACAAGTGAACAAGCCTCCCGGGAAAATTTTTTTTACAAATATGCCATTAAATTTAATAGAAAAATGGCTACGCCTTTGCCTTATACTACGCGTACAGCCTGCGCTTTTTTTTTTGATAATCCCGTGATAAGCCCGTGTGAAACATGACGAAAATTGTATTAAAGGCTAGGAAGAGATCAGGCATTGCAAAAAAAAATTGCAGACCTGCCAGATCGAAACCGGATAGAGGTCGATGATATTAGTCAGCGCACAGTGTGTCATTTCACCAAAAAAGTTCAAACTTCAAGTCAGGTGAGCATAATATATTAAATATATACATTTTTAGTTAATATAACACACAAAAAAATGCATGCTTTTTTACATAAATACACAAATAAAATGAATGTTGTACAATAGTGTTGTTCAAAAATGGCATACACAATATGGACCTCATTTTCGATTAAACTATTTTCAAAAACCCAATTAACGTTTTCATCTTTCCTTTTTTAATTCCGATTTTATAAATAAATAGTTCAAATTTATCTCACTATTCGTCACTTTTAGGTTGAAAAATCCCACTGTATGACGCTTAAAATGTAAATTAAAAAACAAGTTCTAGCCCAGAACGAAAAGTATTGCGAAAAGTAGAAATATATTTTCCCTCCAAAAACCGGTCGTTTGACTTTTCCCTCACATTCTTTCCATAGAGACTTCCCCTCATTCCTTACAGAGAGCCTTTAGAGTTATTGTTAAATTGTTATTTATTTTGGCTAAACAAAACTGTAAATCTTTTTACCCAAAGTTCTTTTGACTAAAATAGGTTTTTGTTTTGTAAATAAACCAAAATTTATTTTGTTTTAAATAAATACATACAATACATTGACACCTTTAGTTCTTCTCTTTTTTATTTCCAGATTAAAGATGAAATATATCTCAATAAACGGTAGTTTCTTAAATTAATTTTAAATATATCAATGTTAAAGGGATTTTATTATAAGTCTCAAATATTTCTTGACAGATACTTGGAGGTCGCGGCAATGGAAGTTCGACTGTGTGTTGGATATCAATACTCTCTTTCGGGAACTTAAGGGAATTGAAAAAATGGCTGACGTGAGTGAGAGATTTAGAAGCATGGTGGGGAGCGAAAAAAACATCGATGACTTATCGATGCATCGATGTTTTCATCGATGTTTTGGCACCTCTAGAGTCTGGCTTAATGAAAAATTCGCGGGCGGCCTCACTAGATCGGTAGTTCAAGTTGAAATTGGTCTATTCTTGGAAGTTGGTAAATCAGTGCATGGCAAAATTAAATTTATAAACATTGAGGAAAATTAAATCTAGCAACATAAGACTATAAAATGTGACTAATATTGAGATCAGCAAAGAAAAAAATTGTGATTAACCACCCCCACCTCCCGCCCAACCGTCCGAGGGGCGCGGTTGTGTGAATTGCATGAATTGCTTCCTTGCAATTGCCAAATTATTAACCATTTTATAAACTACAAAGCAGTACAATTGTTGCTATTGGGTATAACATAGAACGATAATTAGCACGATAGCAATAAGTGTTTTTGTTTATTGCGGAGGCTTACATGTTATCGAAGTAAAAAGTTGTAATCGAAACTTAAAATCGTAAAGGCTTTATCTACATCGAACTCTCTGACTACAAATTTCAAACTACAGTGATTTACCACGAAGGAACCTTTCTACATGTTTATCGGGGTATATGGATATAGAGCTGAACTTGCAGATACGGGCTCTGCACTTAACTGTAAATAAGGCTACGTAAAATGAAGCTTTCCTGTAGTAGGCTAGACTGTTAAACCTATGTATGTATATTAAGACTATGTTATACCCATGTTAAGCCGATGTAAAGATCATGTTGAACGAGAGAACATTCTAGATTAGCGAGTATTGAGCGTCGTTTCTGATCTTCCACACTAGGAAAGGTAAATTACTTAGGAAATTAGGAGTCTACTAGAGTAATCTAAGGGTCAGTGTCCACAGCTAGGCTCCGGAGGGCAAACAGCAAAAAGTTCTTTTGGACAGATTCAATGGGATTACTATAAACATCAATTTCAGAATTCTAGACACAAGAACTCCAGAATAGGATACTTCAATATAGGGCGAACTAACGAAGCAAAAAGGGTCTTTGTTACATAAGAAGAAGTAAGAAAAGTTTAACTTCATCAGCATACATGAGTATACTGGCTTAACACGCTGAAGATCCAGACTAGGAGAGCTTTCGTTTAAGGTGGGGCTGAAGATTAAGTTTGAACTGTTCATAGCGAAGGAATAAATCTGATTTGAAGTTGTTGAAAATATCGGCGATGGCCTTATCAGAGTTTGCTGTAGTATTATTGATTTAAATGGAGAAGGGATATAAATTGGGTTTATAGAACTGTTTTGGGTCCTGCGCAAACTGAACCTTACAACAAATCAAATAATTTGTATAGCACTTAGCGTTAAACACGGTAAAGTTCGCCCGAGCTTTAAAATAACTAGAGGTAACATTTTATATCTATTATAAAGCCTAAAGATTTTACACCTTTTAGGCGTGTCAGCTCTTTATTAAGATGGTTTATTAGAAACCAACGGATGGGTTACCGGAACACATAAAGAAAAGAAGGAGTTCATGGCATTGTAAAAAATGGCCGGCGCGGTTGCCGTAACAGAGCATATGTAAATTAAATTAGGATATTAAGGTATTTAGCCTTTAAATGACAGCTTTTCAAAAACAGCGGACTTTGTAAGCTATTCAATCAGATTACCTTTCTAAAACAGTACCCGTATTGATAGTCACTTCGAAAGTTAAATGGTAAGGATCTTCAAGTTGCGTCAATGGAGGAACTCTAAGGCCTACAGGATCAGAAACGAAACATAGATCTAGCAAGCGGTTAAAAGAATTATAGACATGGTTAACATGAGATATGTACATATATCAAGCATGCGATCAATCAATTATGCTGTGCCGCAGTCTGGAGGACATATTTCACACTATCAGAAGACCAATCAAGATCCTACTTAACATTTTCGGCCAGGGTCTTGCCTTGTATATATGTAGGTCAGGCCATCTCATAATCCGCCTTCGGTCTGGCGCAATAAACTTAAGCAATTTTGTGCCACTTTCTGATCGTTTCTTCATCATCGTGCACATTGTAAGCTGCTTAAAACTTAAAAAAATGCATTACCAATATTTTTTAACGCAATTTGCTAAGTATTTTCTAACTTAACTTCCGGTGCCTCCCAAGAAACCAAATGGAACGAAGAAATAACGACTTTTTTATTTAATACTTTAAATTATTATTTAATTCTACTATTTAGTACTTTAAATAAATATTTAATACTTTAAAACTTTAACGATTAAAATGAAATTTATGAACTGATGAACTTATTATAATATATGGAAATTATAAAATGAAAATATATACACATATACATATTTATATTTTATATTATATATTTTTATAAATGTTATAAGAAAAAACCCAAAAAGAATCAATAAATTTTTCAGTGAATATGTATCTTAAACAATAAATTGTTTGTTTTCAGATCTTTTCACCATTAGCAATATCATCATTAAAATTACTAAGTGCGCGCACTCTTCGAATTAATTCAAGAAATATATTGAAAATATAAAAGCAATTTAAAACCTCCGATAATCCAAAGACCACCAAAAACATGAAAGTTTCAAAGGAATGCATGACTAAATTGCAGAAAAAGTTTCGGAGAAGTCTTTGCACTAACAATTTCAATGGGGTAGTGAAGCACCGACGACAACGAAATGTAATCCAGCATTTGCCAATGCATTTGGTCTCTGACGAACCAATGGATATTGTTGAATCTTCTCTAAAGCCTCAAGATAACAAACTGCCGGAACTTATGGAAGTGGACCCCGATCCAGAACTAACGATTCCTCAATATCTTTATGAGCCTCGATACCAAAGTGATTGTGTTGTAAATATTTATAAAAAAAAACCAAAGGAAAACGATTTAAAAGCACAAGCAGAGAGAATAGGCTATGTTTAATTCCAAGCCAAAAGAATTTAAATTCGTTGAGTCTTACTATACTTCTATCTTCCAAAAATGTTCTACATAAAAAGGCAAAATTCCTGCAGTAAATCCAATAAACTGTGCCTTTTTTTTTTTTTTTTTTTTAGTTATTTAAAATTTAATTACTTTTTTTTAATTGGCAGATCCAATGTTTCCCCCTTAAAATAAAATAGGCAACAGTCAATGTTAAAAAAAAACCTTATTCACCAAATATAACAAATTATTAGAAATATACAAATGTTGACAGTATGTAAATATTACTTATAAAATGTTAAATTACTTGATGTTAGGTAGAGGTGGTGGAGGTATTCAAAATTTTAAAATATATTAATGTACTCTTGTTAATACATATACCTATCTAAACGTATTTCAAAAAATGTTACCAAGAAAAAAAACTGTAACTGGCAAAATACCCAATTCTCAAATTAAAAACCTGTCCGTTGCAATTTTTATACCCTTGCAGGGTATTATAATTTCAGTCAGAAGTTTGCAACGCAGTGAAGAGGCACCTCCGACTATATAAAGTATAAATATTCTTGATCAGTATCAACAGCCGAGTCGATCTAGCCATGTCCGTCAGTCCGTCTGTCCGTCTGTCCTTCTGTCCGTCTGTCCGTCTGTCCGTCTGTCTGTTTCTACGCAAACTAGTCTCTCAGTTTTAAAGCTATCTGAATGAAACATTGTAGTTAGCCTTCTATATACTCTCACTCGTATATATGTCGGAACGGGCCGGATCGGACTACTATATCATATAGCTGCCATAGGAATGATCGGAAAATTTTTACAAAAAAAATTTTAACTTTTTCAGTTTTCAATAGAATTGGATCAAATTTGTGATATAGCCATTTTACTATACTTTACAATTTTCTATAAAATTTTATGAAAATCGGACTACTATATCATATAGCTCTCATAGGACCGATCGAGAAATCAAAACAATTAAATTTATAACTTTTTCAGTTTTCAGCTGATTTTCATCAAATTTGAGGTATACTTTGTGTCAAATTTCATGAATATCGGACGACTGTATCATATACATAGGTGCCATACAAACGGTCGTTTATTGTGGAGGAAATGTGAATGTAAAATTGCAAATATAATATGTATAGGTGAATGAAATGAAAGCAGGTATTACTTCATTGTTTTTTAACACAAATATATATATTTTATATTGTATGTAAACTTCGGCGTGCCGAAGTTAGCTTCCTTTCTTGTTTTATTTAATTTTTTTTAGTTAACAACCTAGTTTCTAAAATCGTTGACAAAGGAAATATTAAATCCGAATAAAGACTTCTCGAATATGAAGATTTAGTTAGATAAATTACCAGATATTGTCCGATCGCTTAGAAATTATTCAGGAAACAAAACTGAATATTCATCATGGAAAAAAGGTTCAATGAAAACAAAATGGTTGCAATAACAGAACCATGAGAATCCCATAATGATAAGACTGTTTGTAACTCAGAAAAATTGTTAGATTTAGGTAACGATACTTGTGTAACTGCACTGCTAAATTTAAGAGAACCCGAATGTAAGATGATTAACAATCAGCACATACCAGCCTTTGAGGAGATACTGCCAGGCACCATACTACTGCACGATTTTAATGGACCAGTATCTCTGGATGGAAAGGAGCTAAAGCTAGATGGCTCTTTTATCATACAATACCGAAACTCAATGGTTACTATTGGCGAGGTGACGTATAAATCAAGAGAAATCAACATGGCCGAACCAGAACCTCCAACTTATGGGAGAAAAAAATTAAACTCGAGCAAGTTCTCTTACTTCGAATGATCAAAGAATAAAGCATCAACAACACAAAAGTGATCGAGAAACTAAGAAGCAATGCAACAATATCAGCTTCTGTTAGCTATGGAGCTACCATCATCCTCCTGATAGTAATAATAGGCATGGCCACAGCACTCTTACGAAAACGTAAACAGAACAACCGCTCCTCTTCCGGAAATGCAAGAAAACCCTACACAACCCGGACCGGTACTCTCTTACGTTGCGACCGAGGTCAGTCCCGTTTAAGGAGGGAAGAGTTAACAACCTATTTTCTAAAATCGTTGACAAAGAAGATGCAAGCTCAGTACATATGCCGCAACCGGGTGAAGAAACCAGAAGTTCAATTTACTACCAACTCAGGAAACTTCCGGATTAGTGTTCCCACGATCGCTTTTTTTTTTTTTTGAATACGCTACAATATTGACGTTTCACAAGTTTTGACTACATACATCAATAATAAATATATGACTTATGGGGACGGAACGACTCCTTCACTGCGTTTTAAGCTTCTGACTGAATTTATGATACCCAGCAAGGGTATAAATATTCGCATTCCTTGGGTCGATATTATTACAACCAAAAGTTTTAAAAACTCAAAACTTAGACAAAAATACATTAATTTCGATTCCGAAATCTGTTTTGTGCTAGTTTTTAATAAGTTAACAAGTCTGCATACTCAAATTGAAATTTTAAAATATTTAAATTTATGTCAATTTTTCAAGATGTTAAATGGTTTTTTAACAATAAAATTTGAAAAAAAAAAATTTCAAAAAATTTTGTTTCCTTTTTTTATATGTACTTAGAAAGATTCCCCTGTTCATACTGATCAATAAACTGACTCCTTCACTGCGTTTTAAGCATCTTACTAAAACGACAACAGCATGCACGGGCTAAATATGAAATTCTTTTAGCTCTATGCTGCTAAAATGTTGCTTTCCTTTTGCTCTGCTCCTGGGCATCGTAAAACATAAAAATACATGAAGTTGGCACAGGTTTTTAAAAAGCCAAAATTACGCAAATTTTGCTTGGAAAATAGCTATAATTCCCGCTAGCCGCTAGTTCACAATTTATCCCGCATTTAGGTCCGCCAGATCTTGTGGGAAAATAGCTAGCACAGTGGGACATTTTACCCAAAAAGATCTTACTTTTACACTGGTGTGCATAATATGAACATCCTATTAAGTACATAAAAGACTGTTCGTTTTTACTCAGTTTTAGAAATAGTATTAGTAAGGCGGTAGGCCTCATTAAAATTATCTCAAAGATAAAAAATAGCCTGATTTATTTTATAATTAGTGATGGAAATAGTATTCCTACCTTTTTAAATACAACGAAAATATATAGCAACTATTTATAGCCGATGAATTAAATGAGTAAACCGTAATATTATACCGTAATATTCGCCACTGTATGGCAGTGCAAATTTAATTCAAAAACAAGTTTCAGCATAAAAAGATGAATCTTGCAATAACAATAAAACACCTATGTATACTCCTTCCAAAATCGGTCGGTTGTGTAATTCCTTTAAATTTCCGCCATTAAAACTATCTATTATTCCTTAAGAGAGAATCAAAGAGCGTTCAGAGATTTTATTTTTTTTTTTCGCCCAATATTTAATTCATCATTGAGTTCATTAGTGTTAAAAAATGAATTCACTCCTAAATGCGCGTCCCTAGAATTAAGGTAAATATATTCATGTCTGTTATTTGAGATAATGGGTTAAATAATGTTTATATTTATACATTCTAGAGATTATAGTCTTTAAAATTAATAATAATTATAAATTAAATTTAATAAATTAAATTTAATTTAAAACATATCACAAATCATTAGAATATCTGATAAGGAATTTAACAATCAAACATTATTTTAACAGGTACTTGAAGTCAGAGCTTTGGAAGTTCGACTATGTATGTGGTAGGTATCAATGCTCTCTTTAGGGAACTTAAGAGATATTAGAATTGGCAACACAGTGACATTTGCGGCGTACAGGTGTGCGTAAGATCAGACACATGCCAAAAGCCGCCTGCTTTGGCTCATAGGAACTTGATCAAAGGCTGAAAAGAGTGTAGACACAGAAAAAAATGTAGCAAGAAACGGGGGTTTGGTGCGACGCACTGATGTCATGGCTATAAGCGGTCAAGAAACAAAGGATTTTATATTCTCCTCGACCGGTCGGCGGACCTGATTACTAATTGAAGTTAGCCTTGGACTTACGGGGGTCTTCTCTTGCCAAGTGCAATATGTTTGAAATTGTCCAGATTGCTATTTTCGATTCTCTCAGATAATCCAAAGAAAACCAAAAACATTAAAGTCTGCAAGGAAAGAGTTTGGAACAACGGACCTGAGGCTAACAATCACGTGGAGCCCGGATAAAAAAAAAAAAGAAAAGCTGTTTTTATCATCGAAAAATAAATAAATATAATCGTACTTAAATTATATCTGCTTAACATGTCTGTTCCATAGATATTTGTACATATGAAAAATTTATGTATATTGATTGATGTGTGAAACTCATATAATGTAGAATAAGCAAAGAAAAAACATTACAAAATTTACATTATAGCAATTGAAAATTTTTAATTATAATAATAAATGTATTAGCACATAAGAGTATTTCAATAATTGCAGTATTATAGCTTCATAATAAACAAAATTTTTAAGATTCCCGTTTTATTCTGCCGACCATGGTAAAATGCACAAAAATACTATTCAATTATTCCAGTATATGTAAGATTTTTATTAAAGCTTAACGAAACTACTACAAAATATTTAATAAATAAAAAAAAAAGATTAAAAAACAAATAATTTTAAATATTAATATCATTTTTATATGTTCAGCTTTATGTCTATAGTTTTGTAAATGTTATTCTTGTCTGTGAATATGCAATAAAAGTAAAAATAAGTAATTTAAATGTAAAAGTAAATATTATATTTTCAATCAATTATGAACCCAATTACCCATAATAAAATAAAATACAACACATATTCTGACCTCTAAGCTATATAATTTATTTTGTTTATTTGTTTATTTGTACATACGATATACTAATTTTCACTTTTTTCTTGTATTCAATATTTAATTGAGCAAGACGTTTCTTAAGATAAAATAATGAGAATGAAAATAAACTGTCAATCAAACAATTTAAAATTTTTCATGATAGCTACCAAGGATCCAGGCTAACTTCGGAATACCGTATTGTGTATCCCCTTACAGTTTGTGATTACGTCATAGAACATCAATTGAATTCGGTAAAAGAAAAAATAAAACATAAACGGAGAGATGAACAACATTCTCATATAAATTGAAAGCTATATGATGTATGTAATATTCTTAATTTTGATCAGATTAAGATTTTATTTGTGTTGTAAATAAACGAAATCAACCCATACAAAGGTAATTTATTTTCTATACAATAACAGATCGTTTCTTTGGTAGCTATCTGGTAATGTCGTTCAAATTTTATACAATAAAACGGAAATTCCAAAGTCATACTAAATTGCAATATCTGAGTATGTGTTTATATTGCATCGTTGTTTGGCATGTGCGATCAAGACCTTTATTCTTCATTCATACAAGTATACCTCTAAGGCTGAGAGCCTAATTTGCTGGCTTTGTAGTTGATGCAAATTAAAATATGTATATGTATATGTTATGTAATTCATGGGTTTGACCCCATTACTATGTTGAAATTATTTACTTAAATTAGAGTAATATGCAAGGGGAAGACGGGGAATTTCTGATTGACATCACAGCAAAAAATACAAAAAACTGCTAATCACTCAATTGTTAACTGAAGCACACTTTAACAAGAACGACAGTCTTCTTATTCTTATTTATTCTGCCCCCAAAGGACGCGAGGGTGAATATACATACATATATTGTATGTGAATACGTGTGCCACAGACAGTCTGTCATTCAACACTTTGCCGCTTCATTAGCCAACAGACAACAGCCAAGTGGCCCAAACTGCCTGATTACAATACAAATGTCATTCGGCAAATTTGCTGGGACGGTGAAAGAAAAAGTACTTGCTTTCTTCACCTAAATATTTCAAGGAAAACGTAAATAGAATAATGTTTATGGAAATCCGATTAAATAAAAAAGGACAAATTTGAAGTTACGAAAAACACTGGCAAACAGGGAAGTCGACTTTTGGGGTCTGCGGGTAAATACCAAAGCAACAAAAACAAACCGAAAAACCAAAGCAGCCACCGTGGCTCACGGGGCGTATGTGTGATGGACAGCTGGCTGACTTTGTTCTTGTTGATTTTGGCACGCTTCTTGTGTTGTTCTTGCACTCATTGTTTGCTATTTGACGTCGACGCACGTGCCATTGAGCCAGCAACCACCCACCACCCCCACGGCACCTGCTCGGCAGTCATGTATGTAATTGATAAAAGGATTTGCGTTGCTCACAATTTGGCGAGCCTGAATAAGCCTTTTTGGAGAACACCTCAAATCATTAGCAAGGCAAATTTATGCAACGCAAAAAAGAAATCTTGATTGGAATTTATGTGTAAACCGAAAGCGTAAAGCATACACTGCCAAAAATGCCGGCTTTATCGAACTCAAGATTGTAGTTTTCAAGTCCATTATGTACAGTAAAACTGAATTTGTAAGCAACATCAAAGACATGCCTTTTCTCCTTGCCTAAATCAGATAAATATTTGTATTTTTACACCCTTGCTGGGTATTATAATTTCAATGCTGTGAAGGAATCATTTCCGACCCTATAAGTCAAGTGATCAAGAATAATCAGCATTAATAGTCGATTCGATCAAGTCAACTCAGGCATTACCAGTATTTTCAACATATTATATTGACAAACATTTTAATTTTTTAAATTGATTTTTTTGGCTTAGTAATGGCCTTTTTAAACTTTGATGTCGAAAACATTATTATTTACCGATAGATATAGCATATTTTAAGCTTAGATGGATTTCCGATTCAATCCTCTAGGGATACATATAACCTCCGGAATCCCGAAGTTAGTTTGCTTTCTTGTTTCTTTTTTCATAAACAATTAACCTTTCCAAATTGTTTGGTTCCTCCTAAACTGAATAAATTATTATTAAATTTGGATTATTATTTTTGTAATTTATTTATTAAGTTCTTATGATTTTACCTATATACATTATTTTCAAAATCCTTTTTAGCGACTTTTTCAAGTGTCCAGCATCCACTCAGCTGTGTAGTTTTTAACTTAGACATACAGCAAGCGAATTAACTACCGCAAAATGGTTTTCCCGGCTTGTAATCCGCCAGCCGAAAAGGGAAAGGACGCAGGACCAAAGACGCTGCCACCTGCCACCTGCCACCTTTTCTGTGTGCTCCGCGCAGATTAGTCAAATTGGTTTTGGCCGTCCCTCCGTTGCTAGGCAGATTCCCATGTTCACGCCCCGAGATCAACTCCGCGACAGCCTTAAGTTAGCCGCTGATGGCCAAGTTATTTACTTTCCGAGCCCCGAGAGCCATTCACGTCTGCCAAGGCTGACAAATTGAGGGCTTCACTTTGATGGCAACAAAGGATGTTGAAGGCAGGACCAGTGTTGGCATCATTTTGCAAGCGACAAAAATGTCGATTTAAGGTTTAAAATTAAATACTTACCACCCTTTTTAGTAATTTCTGTACTTTTTTCCTTTAGATATATAGTAAATAAAAATCCTACTTCACTCCTTTTCCCTATAGGATAAATGTATAAAGTATATTGTTAATGCAGTAATTTGTAGTCAATTCATCTTGGATCTTTTACAAAATGCAGCTATAAATAAATACCAAACCATAAAATGGAAATTGTCGAAAAAGAAGGACGCCAGTCTTGACTCAAACTGTAGCTGGACCCTGATTAACCCAAGGGTGAGCAACCCTTAGCTTAGTCCCAGGGAAAAAACTGCGAAAGGTTCGCTCATAAATTGTGCTCAACTTGGAATTGAATTGTCTAATTAGGCGGGCCTAGCAACATTTGCTAATTGCTTATAAATTGTTAACTGCTTTCCAACAGCTGACAGGCGACAAAGGGTTAATGACGACGACTGCCAAAGGATCCCAGGGGGGAAACACAGGATATCCACACGCATCCTTCATCGTGGCCAAGGCAATTAGCAAGCGAAACAAATGACCATTTTGTGTTAATTAGCGGATTGCCTTCCGTTTTCGGGTGGTATGGGTGATTTTGGCTTTGGATTGTGGCTCCTGGGCCCCCCAGTTCCTCGGTGGTGATGACTGACGGTTGGCGGTGGATTTTGTGTGTTTGCCTTGTTGCGGTTGATTAGCATTGACAACTAATCGTATTGACCCTGTTAAGGTACTCGAACTTAATAGCCTTCGAGCTCTGATTAAGATTGAGTTAGTGTGAAATTGACAGCCCGTCTAAAACGAATTGCAAGGTGGGGAGTTTCATGATTGGAAAAATTTAATTAAAGCGTCAAACCCAATCTCCGGTACCCTTCCAACACCAAGAACTGCAATCAATCACAAAAATTAGAAATATTCACTTAAGTCTCGTGGTGAAAAGAGACGGGAAAGAAGAGACAAAAGAAATGGTACAAAAGCAAATGGTATGGGTAGGAGAGAAGTGGAAAACGCTTCAGGTGATTCGTCGACTAAAATAACTTACCCTCACTGATAGGGGCTAACTGACCGGAGAAAACCAACAGATAAAGAAATCGGCAAACAATTCGATTTCCTTTCCTATTTGATATTTATACGATCTTAAAATACCAACTGAGTAAAGAACAGTTAATGCAACGGACTCAATTGAAAACAGTAGTTAATTGCTTTGAAGTCAATTGTTCTTTTTTCGACACGGAAAATATTTGACAGGAGTCTGGGTCCCTGTCCCAGTCTACATATGTCTTGCTTTTCCACTCCACATCCCTACTTCATTACGAAAATATTCACAAACACAATATATGTACCCTGCGCATTATGTACTTGCATATATGTGTAAAGGAAAAAATATATTTATCTTTGGAACCCACAAAGCGGAGATTGGAGTATTGGCTGTGACTCGGCCAGAAAACTTTTCATTCTCCAATCGCTTGCACACACTTCCGTTCACTTGTCGATTTCCGGCGTAAGAAGAATGTCCCTTTATGTGCTCTTTGCATGGAACTAACGACTGCAATAAGCCAAAACAAAACCGCCAATAACAATGTCCGTAAAAACTCAATTGTCTTTGATTTTCTAGTTTGAGCAATGATTAATATGTATTTCGGGAAAAGCGATTAACAATATCATTGATCGATCAACAAACTTCTCGGGTTGATGTACTTTTAGTATGAGAGCATGCCATATGTATGTACACGAAAACTTAAGGATTGTTCGCAAAAACATCGCTAAGTTAAATGGCTCTTCGTGAGCACGTAATGTTAGAATGGATAATCAGCTTAAAATATAACTATTAACTATGGGTTAACCTTATGCTAAGAGAAATAAAGTCTGCTCAATATCCGGTGGTTGCATTTCTCCTCCTCGAAATTCCACGCGACTTCCCGAGTGGCCACATCTTCGGTCCACCGATATAAGTTTACTTTAGCAGGTAATCCATCTCTGATTTGGTGGTGGACATATACACATCCAGCTCCTTGTCCAAATCTTCGCGCTTCACCTCTGGGCGCTGGGGTTTGCCTAGTGAAGAGAGTGAAAGAAACACTATTAGCAAGTCGTCGATTGGAATTTGAAAAGAATTATTGAATTAAATTAGTATTTTTAAGTGCCGATGCCCAGAGATCCAGTCCGGTTACTCTCCTGGCCACTTTTCACGCTTTTACCTGTGGACGGCTTGCGACTACGACTGCGTCCCCGGCGAGCCTGTTGCTGCGGTCCCGGGCCCTGTTTGCCTTTTATGGCCATCTTTCCCTTGCCATTCTTGTTGGTGTTACCATTTCTGTTGATATTCTTATTGTTATTGGTGTTGTTATTCCCCTTGGCAGCGGCCGGATTGCGTCCACGTCGCTGGCGAGGGTTGGCCCGGCGGCCCGGTGTAGTAGCAGCGGCATCGGCAGCGGCAGCAGCTACAGCGGCAGCGCGATTGCGTGAGCGTGAGCGACGCGCAGAGGCGGGAGCAGAGCCCGTAGCAGCACCACCCCTAGCAGCAGCAGTAGCGTTCCTGGTAGCAGATCTATAAAGAAAAAAGGAATAAAAGACCATGAGGATTTGTTCACCAAAGACTCACAAAGTGCAAAATAATGATCGGAATTTCATTTAAATTCTTTAGTTCAATTAATGATTTATGCATAAAATCTAAGACGAAATAATGAGACAACAAGAAAAAGAACTGTTCCAACTATGGCTTGTATTCTAGTATTTATGATTCACCGATTACTAGGACTATTAATTAATGAATATTAATCAATAAGTATAAATCATCGCTAACGAATTGAATATATTTTTTCTTAACTTACCTTCCGCGTTGTGGTCCCCGACGTCCAGCGAGGGAGGCCGATATGCCCCTTTTCTGGGTGTTCTGGGCTTTGCCGCGCTTCTCGACTCGCCCACCGGCTACGCCCCGAAGCTGGCTCGATGCCCTCCGCTGTTTTGGGACATTGGTTTGATTTGACTGGCCGGGGCGAAGGCCCAAACGGTACTTGACCGATAGACGCTGCTTGACCGGGACACGCCCCTGGGCAGAACGGTCACGATTGCCCCCGCGATTGCGGCTTTGGGACCGCCCAACGCTGCTTCGTCCACGGCTCTGGGAACGACCTCTTTCTACCCGCTGTGCCTGCGGCAGCCTGGAACGGGATCTAGAACGCGAGCGACCGCGTAATGTCTGCTGCTGCTGCTGCTGTCGCTGACGGCGCTCGACGCGCTCTGCTGCGCCGCCTACTGAAGGCCGACGTTGTCCCAGGCGCTGACGGAGTCCACCGCCACCACCTCCGCCAGAAGCGGGTAAGCGGCGGGCAGCGCTGCCGCTGCGACGATTGCGACCAATATTTCCATTAGCCACGAGATCGGCGCGCATCCTGAGCGATTAACGGAGAAGTACAGAGATGTTGCAGTGGATTGGGTTTGCTTTAGCGCGATTATAGACGGAGATGCTTACGTTGCTACCCGGGTCACATTGTTGGACCGAATGGGCCTTCCATTGGGCGCCAGGCGCATCGACTTGACGCCGCCGACGCGTGCTCCGCGTCCGTTCACGGCCGTGTTCCGTAAGCTTCTCTGTAAGGAGGCATAAGGTTGTGGATGGATTTTTTGGTTTCAATACGCTGCTGCACAGTGTTGGAGTTCAAGTTCAAAGGAGAGAGAGATAGAGAGAGTCTGAGAGGCTGGAGAAAGTTCGGGGTTCACGCAGAAGGCGCAAATTATCTCAACAGCAATGTCCGACTCCATCTCCTCCAAGATTAGTCCAAGCAACTGCTTTCCACTAGCGGAATCTGCTCTGTATCTGCTCGTGTTTGTATTGTTCGGATTTTTGTTTTTTGTTTAGGAGACACGTACGCGCTTTAGCTTGAGGGCCGTCTGGACGGTGTGCCGACGCTTGAACTCCTGCAGCAAGCGGGAGTTGGCCGCCGAAATGCCCGGATTCCCGGGGTTACTGTCCACAATGCGGCGGCTCCTGCTTCTGGAGCGGCTGCGTCCGCGTCCCTGCGGCTGCGGCTTCTGCGTCTGCATCTGGGTGAAGCGCTCGTTCAGTGAAATTCCAGTGTGCACCATGATTAATTAATTTGATTCGACTTTGTAATCTATAACTCGATCCTTTAAAATCTTTGATTTTTTCTTTAGTTTTTGTTTTGACAGTTGAACTGCCTCGAACGATGACTTGCCGGGTTGAAACTTGGTTTGCAACTGAAAAAACAAAGGGAAATGCGTTGAGTTTTATATTCGAACAGGTAGAAAGGCAACTAGGATGTAATATGTGATATATTCAGGTAGCTCAAGGGCAGGTTATGCCAGCCAGCTGACAGCCATAAACGCTAAGCTCACGCAAAGGTTTCCTTCTAAAATCCATCAATAAATCTGCAGCTGCTTGCAGCAGAAGGGCAGACATGTGGAAAATCAAATATTAGCAACCCTCTATGAATACTACAGTGGCGGCCATCGAATTATATATGTACATATGTGTTACCATGTCAAGATATGTCAAAGATTATATTTTATTGAAGATGTAGTAGTTATTAATATTATATATTTCGAATTTACAAATATATATTGTTATTTCTTACTCATCTATTTATTTGTGTTTTATTCCTATTTGTATATTGGTAATATTATTTCGAACTCGACTGTATACCACCAAATATATGTATGTTTGTATGGTTGCCTGCTAGCAGCACTCAACATTGTATTCTAATTATAGTATTGCTTGAATATGAAATTTTTGACGCGAGAGGCTGAATCACTACCGGAATTGGGGTCATATTTATTTATACGAAACTCCAATTACATAAAGATAATTATATTTTGATTTCTACTCACTTTTTGACGCCTTTTGCGTCGCAGCTTCTATCCCCTGGCCTGGAACTGGAGGCTTGCAGAAGTCTCCTTTTTCCAGTCTGGTTGTGCTTCTTACAACTTAAAATCAATGTATATTGGTGATTTGTCTTTGGAATATTGTTTTGGCCGTAAATTTGTATCAATTAACTACGTTTTTCGGATGCAATAAAGTTTTTTCCACGCAGTCTGCTAACAAAGTTATTGGCGAAAATGTACAGGCAATTCAGTAGAATGTGGAATTCCTAACGCGTCCATCCCAAACTGCGGAAAATACTATATTTGATGTTCATAATATAAGGGGTAGTCTACGGTGAGCGTATAACACCATTTCAAAACAGAGTAAACAAGCGATATTATGTATTGGTTTTTCGTTTCCTATACGGATAAATAAATTCGTGTATTTTATAGTAATGGAGTTATTCAGTCGTATATTGCGCAAAATTAAACTATGTAGAGTAAAACTTTAATACAGGATTAAAGAACACTTTCAAAAAATACTATATTTGGTGTTCATAATATTAGGGGTAGTCTGCGGTGAGTGTATAACACCATTTTAAAACAGAGTGAACGAGCGAAATTATGTATTGGGTTTTCATTTCCTATACGGAAAAATATATTGGTGTATTTTGTAGTAATTGGGTTATTCAGTCGTATATTGCGCAACATTAAACTATGTAAAACTTAAATAAATAAATTAAGAACACGTTCTGTGTCAATACTTTTTTAATTGATCCAGTGGTCAAATATCCCTAAACATTTCAGAAAGCTTTAGTAAACTAATTTTTTCAGCTTATGGGCATTTCTTCAGAAAGGTCCACCGCGGCAAAGAAATTAAACGTTCTTTGAAACGAGTATTTTTTGATAAAGATTACAAGAATTTTTTTTATCTTCTAACAATCTTTTTGATAACAATGTCTTAACCAAAAGAATTTTGCTTTACTTTTGCTTTCTTATAACACACAGAAAATGCAAATATTCAATATAAAATGTAAAAGGACATATGTAAATATGCGATTACAAATATCCGTAATTTGAATTATCGCATTCTAAAATGTCTAAAATTGAATTTAAAAATTAACTACTCAATAATTTAAAGTCAAACGAAATACATTATTAAGATAAATTATTTCATAATTAATTTAAATTCATTGCATTACAATTTTAATCACCTTTCACTGAAATCAAAGCTTGAACTGGCTTCTTACATATGTAACTTCTGTTTTTGTCGCGTGCGAATGCAGTACATTTTAGTGAATATCTTGAAAATGAACAAGGGTCCAAAATCGATCTTAGCGCCAACTATTGTGTAACCAAGAGCTATAAATTTGAAATTCTGTAAAGTTAAAATAAAGTCTTGGCATATTTTTTTTTTAGTTTGAATGCGTACGAATGTCGCATTCGACATACGTACGAATGTCGCATTCGACATCAGAGAATTACTCATACATAAATTTAACTAAAATTAAAAATAAATTTTTCCCCAGTGTTCAATTTCTCACCGTTCCTCTCCGACGCTAACTCATCGGCGCTAGTTTGAGGACATGGAATATTCCGCTAAATAAAATACTAAATCGTGATTAGCTTGCATTGATATTTACGCCATCCCTGGACTCTGATAACGAGCTTGAGGCCCTGACAGCCGCAAAGCAGGGCTGTCGCCACCGTCAGCTATAATGAACTCCTACGGTTTGTAGACAGAATTAAAACTTAAATTTAACTGCTTTCCCACAAGAAATCACCAACACAAAAGGAGCGACAGCCTGCCGCCATTGCCCAGCCGTCCTGTCGATCATTTAACGAGCCGCTTTTTGTTCGCTATTTCCATTCTTTGCCCCCTTTAACTCGCCGCGTCCCATACGTTTTGTTCTTGCATTTTGCACAGTGTATATTATTATTATTATTATTTATTTGTGTGTTATTTGTTTAGTGTGAATTTTCGTTTTCTATATTCGATTCGATGGTGCACCAGAACACACAGCCACATCCACATAGCACCACACTGAAAGAAAGACAACCCAGAAACCCAACCCGACACCGAAACTGAATAGACGCAAAGACCGAACCAACGAGACCCTTTCCACAAACAAGTCCAAAATGGCCAAAATGTACGGAAAGGGTAAGAGTAAGTAATCGCCAAACACGGTCACTTTTCCATTGCAAAAACTAACATCTACTGACACACCGCCTAGCATGCAAAAAGTCTTTTGATAATTGCTTTATTTTCTTACAACACCGATTGTAATGCTTCCCCATATCTTTACTGTAGCGGCGATCGAGTCGGAGGAGCAGCAAAAGCGGCGATGGCAGATTGAGCTAGAGTTCGTGCAGTGCCTGTCCAACCCAAACTATCTTAACTGTAAGTATACTTTCTTAAATATCCTTATTATTGGCAGATAATGCTAATGGTTAGACGGGTGTAGACTGTGATTTCAATAATACTATAAGCACTAAACTAAGAAAATATTTTAAGTGAGAAACTCGAGAACATTATTAACAACATTAATAAATAAAACTCTATTCCACAGTCCTTGCCCAACGTGGATTCTTCAAGGACCAGTCGTTCATCAACTACCTGAAGTATCTGCAGTACTGGAAGGAGCCGGACTATGCCAAATACCTCATGTACCCAATGTGCCTCTACTTCCTCGACTTGCTGCAGTACGAACATTTTCGGCGCGAGATAGTCAATTCGCAGTGCTGCAAATTCATAGATGATCAGGCCATTTTGCAATGGCAACACTACACTCGGAAACGGATCAAGCTCATCGAGAATGTGAATGCCGCCCAGCAGCAGCAACTGCAACAACAGCAGCAAGCAAACGGCGGCGAGGCAGCAACGGGAGGCGAAGCGCCAGCTGCAACTCCCAATGGGAATGGAGCAGCTGCCACAACCGATGGCAGCCAACAGGCATCGACCACCGCTTCTCAGGCTGTTCAGGGTCAAACAGGGAATCCCCAGCAGCAGCAGCAACAAATCAATGGTTTGGCCTCAGGGGCCAACATCAAACTTGAATTAAACTAGCTTCCAGCAAAAAAAAAAAAATACCAATAAATTAGTCTAAGAACAAGGAGCATGATGTCCGTTTTATTTAAAAGGACTTTAATAAGAACTTTTCGAGATTTTATTATATTTTAAAATGCTAAAAGCATTGATAATTGTGTACTGTGCTTCTAGTGTTCGTTTTAACAACAACTGATGGTAAACGATTTGGATGAGTCCTGGCCCATAGTATGGGAACAAAATGAAATACGCAGCTTAATGCAGAAATCTTAAAATTAAAAACATATATTGCTGATATTATATTAATATGAATGAGTATTATCGCAAGCTGATGTCTCCTTTTGATGTTGATTGATTTTTGGTTGGTTTCAGTCCCCTTCTTCTCCTCTTTACAGTCGACCAATGATTAATCAAAGCTTTCTCTAAATTTACAGACACTCAGGATAAAGCTTCGGTGGAGCGTGAGGATGAAACCACAGCTTGGAAAGGTCACTTTTACGGCGTATACTTACTCTGCAGCCAGAGCCTGGATCCACGCTACCGGGGCAAATGTTATGTGGGTTTCACAGTAAATCCGCAACGTCGGATCCGACAGCACAACCGTGGATGCGACTTTGGGGGAGCCAAGAAAACCAGCCGAAAAGGACCCTGGCAGATGGTGATGATTGTGCACGGCTTCCCCAACAACATTGTGGCTCTGCAGTTCGAGTGGGCGTGGCAGCAGCCATCACTTTCCACCCGGCTAAAGATTTTTCCGGAATTGAAGCGCAAAAAGCCCAGGGAAGCCCACTTTGACTATAACTTTAGGATTCTAAGTCGAATGCTGTGCGTGGGGCCGTGGAATCGGTTAACTCTGACGGTTCGCTGGCTGGAAACGGATTACGAGAGGGGATTTGAAGTGTCACTTCCGAAACAAATTGAAATTGTTAGTGGTAAAGTTACCGTTACCGCCTCGCAGCGTAAAATAGGCGGCACTGTAGGTGCTCCTACTCCGGTTGCCTGGGCACCCGAGTGTCATTTGTGCATGCAGGGTATCGATCAGCCGGAGCGATCCCGTTTGGGCTGTACGAATGTCACTTGTCGGCTCACATGTCATATGTTATGCCTGGCAAACTATCTTTTGGGAGATGAACCCGGTCACTATATCCCAGTTGGAGGAGAATGCCCGCTGTGCGAGACTCGTCTTAGTTGGTCGGGCCTGCTTCAGCGAAAGCGTCTGCTATTGGGCTTGCCCGAGGAGCTGCAGGATCGAGATGAGGCAGAGGAAGATCCAAGCGATGGACCCGACGTGGATAGCGATGTCGAGGAGATAGAGTCGGAATGTGAATCGAACAATTGAGACTACATTACTGCAGTATTTCAAATATTTCTCAGAATTTTAAAAACGCTTAAATTTATTATTTGTTAAATTCGAACTTTTCCTTAAAAAGTACACAAATTCTTACACAACTAAATGTATGCTTATCTTAAAATAAACAGTCTTAGTTCTAAAGTAGCAGGTTCATCTGGTTTTCTGAAGCTAGCTAATCTGGAAATATATGTGCTTTTTTGGGATCCTATGCTTTCTTAATCGGCTTGTTTCTGGAAAATATCAGAGCTTCTGAAAATGAGAGTTATCGGATGATTAAATCATACAACTAAATGTATGTGTAGGTAAATGATTAATCCGAATTTGTATACATGTTTTATATAATTTCTATTAGCTTTCCTTTTCATTTGATCAAATTGAATAATTTCTTAATGATTTAATTGTAAACGGCAATGATTTAATTAATTTATATATATTATTTTAATATTATTGTAAGTAGACTTAATTTTAAAAATTATATTTACCCTTTCAGACATTCAGACACTTGATCCTTTATATTTTGGAGGGTCCGCCGGTAATCTTTTACCAGCTCGGACATCTTTCGCTTTTCAAGCATATAAAACTCCATCGACATTTGAACGTACTCCTGGCCTTTAAACTGGAACACGGACACTTCGGAGGTATCGATAGATTCCATTTGCTCCGGGTCCGAATCCGTAGAACAACTTTTCGTAGTTGGAGATTCAATAGCAACAGGAGCGGCGCTTGTTGATTCCCTCGAGCGCTTGGCGGGAGGCGATTCCGTGTTGTTTTCTACAAAATTGATTTAGAACATTAATTGTCCATAGCAATGATCAAATACACTTACTTTTCGCCATCATATCAGTTTTGGGTTCCTTTGATTTGTTCACAGAGTTTTTTACAGCCTCCTGTATCAGTTCATCCAGCTCATCGTCGCTCACATTGGTGGAGAAGTCTTCCAGCGCTGCGCAGTACTCTTCCTTCGGGTCGGGATCCTTGTCCTTTGTATAGGGAATTGGAATTGCCTCGCCCACAAGCATCGTTCGGTTCCTGTTGCTCGATATAAACTTGGTATCAAAGTGCTTTGAACATAAAAACAGCTGGTTCTTCGAAATCTTTGGATGCACCTGGGCATTCTCTAACCAGATGCGGGCCCTCTCCGGGTTTTTGGGAAAAGAGAAGATTGTCCATTGCCCTTTAGTTGGCGTGCTGCCGACGACAGAGTAGGAATAGCCACAATCTTTGTAGACGCACAATTTATACATTTTCCTTAATTCGTAAATTTTAGGGTTGTTGAAAATACATAAAAATATCAATATATCGATATCTTTGCTCAAAATGATATATTTATATTGTGATATTTTGTTTGCTCAAATATCGATGTTGAGATATTTTTTTGATATTATCAATGATATTAACAATGTTTACAAAAACTGGCTGTTATTTAAAATTTTGCATCTTAAACGTCTATATAACCATTTTATACGTTTACAGATACATGGGGTAGAATTCTCATGTAGGAAGTAAAATTCAATAACATGGTAAATTAACAGAATTCTCTCTCGTTGGCTTTTGGGTGAGCGTAATTAAAGAAATTCTTTGTCGTTGGCTGTTGAGTGTGAGGCTGTCACTTCAGCCTTTTCCGCCAACTCTGGCTTTTTTGAAAAATTAGACCCGGGAAAAAATGAGAAGCGGAAATTCTGGATTTTTGTAGTTTTTGGTTTTTTTCGTTTTTTTTAACATATCATCATTGGGAAAGAAAGGGTAGCAGTTTTTATACAAATATAACATCCGCATGTAAGAGTCTCACAAATTAACCACTTGGGTGGCAGGTATTTTGATTAGGGTAGTTGAAAATAGATCAAAAAAATTTTAAGTGATATTTAATATTATTATTATTTTATTTTTAGACAAAAAATACGAATTTTTGTAAATATCCAAAAACCCTACTTTATATATCTTTCGTATTTCGTAAAATATTTTTGGGAGACGATAGACGATATTTTATTCACCATCTTTCGAATTAAAAGTGTACCGTTTAATTTCATAGCTGTTTGTCTTTTTTTCCTGGCAACTCCTTACATTTTTTGCTCAGACTAGTAACTGGGTTCTAATAGGAAAATCTGGCAGCTCCATCAAGTAACGGGACAATTTAATCCTTATTCGCTTATTGTCAAGTGTTTTTTTATGTTTGTAATTATTATCTGTTCGTGAACGACCTTTTGAAATATGTTTGTGCGCTCTAAGATTGGGTTAGATGCTGGCATGACAGTATCTGAATTCGATATTGAGGATAGTGTGGACGTGACCACCGAACACAGGAATAAGAACCGGCTCTCGTCCGTCGGAGGAGCTGCCGCCGCCTGCGAGGGATTGATGGTGACCTACCAGGAATACTGCGAGCATACCTCTATCCACGGAGTCCAATACCTAGGCGAGCGGCAGCGACCGATGCCGGAGCGAATCTTCTGGCTGATCGCGTTCCTCATTTCGATCTATGGTTGCTCCATGCTGATTACCAGTGCCTACACTAAGTGGACGGAGACGGTACTAGCAAATTGAAACTGCCCCTTTATGCACAACGCGCATTTTACTAGATCACCTTTTCTATTTCATACTACTTGATCATCTTTGACAGCCAGTGATCGTGAGCTTTGCTGAGAAGTCGACGCCTGTGTGGAATATTCCATTTCCGGCAGTCACTGTGTGCTCGGAAACCAAACGGGTGCTGAAGCAAAAAGGTTAGAATATATTGATTGAATTTCTAATTAACTTCACTTAAATTCATTCTTGCAGGCAAGGAGACCACCTATGCGGATCTGTACAGCCAATTCAGTGAGGAGATGCGAGCCTCGCGAATTTTTAAACCTCAAAATGTAAGCGCCTTGGAGATGGAGGAGTTCCGCACACTGCTCCATGTGTGCAATACCCAGATCATTGACGAGGACATGCCATTAATTGCCGGTGATGATTTGGACTACTTTGAAGTGCTCGAACGGATGCTGCCCCAGTTCGATCGATACTTCTTCTATTGTCGCTGGTTAAGCCGATTCGGCGAATGCGAGAAGTTCTTCCGGAAGACCCTCACGGAAGAGGGCATATGTTATACGTTCAATGGGCTACGGGCCACAGAAATCTACCGGGAGGACACGTATCAATACCAGCACAGTGGGGAGGCTTTGGAAATGGAAAACATTAGCTCAAGGCACTCTCCTTGGACGCTGGAATCGGGCTATGCGCACAGCAGCGATGTAGAAACATTTCCGGCCAGGGTTCTCAGCGCTGGCGCAAGGTCTGGCATATTTCTTGCACTCCAGAGCTTCAAGCAGGAGGTGGACTATGCCTGCCGAGGACCTGTACAGGGTTTTAAGGTGAGTTTGCTTTTTTTATACTTTTTAATTAAAAACTGTCACATTGTCACCAGGTGCTGCTCCACGCCCCCGACGACGTGCCGCAAGTATCCAAGCAGTTTGTGCGCATTCCCATGGGCAAGGAGGTGTTGATCGCAGTGAAGCCTAGCATGATCACCATGTCGTCCGGCATCGCAGAATATCACCCACTGCGTAGGCAGTGCTTCCTTAGTCAAGAGCGTTCGCTGCGCTTCTTTAAGGTGTACACTGAATCGAATTGTCAGCTGGAATGTCTGGCAAATTTCACACTGACCAAATGCGGATGCGTGAAATTCTCTATGCCTCGGAATATGGATATGCCGGTGTGCGGTGAGGACAAGATCCATTGCTACGATCGTGCGGAGAGGCAGCTCCTCGTTAGGGAGTTCAAAAGGGTAAGAGCGCTGAATGCCGCGCACGAGGACTGGCGAGGCGTAGAGTCAGCCTGCAATTGCATGCCCGCCTGCACGTCGCTCGTCTACAACACGGAGATTTCGCAGGCGAACTTTGATCTGGAAGAGATGCTTATGGCCGAAGGTGACACCGAGTTCCTGCAAGAGTATCCCGGGTCACAAATGTCCCGCCTATCCATTTACTTCAAGCAGAGCCAGTTCATTACCTCGAAGCGATCGGAGCTGTATGGCGTGACCGAGTTCTTGGCGAATTGCGGCGGTATCTTTGGCCTCTTCATGGGCTTCTCCATTTTGAGCATGGTCGAAATGATCTACCACTTCACCTTGCGGCTCTTCACTAACCTGAAGCGCCTGACCAAGGTTCAGAAGCAGTAAGATCTTCTGAGGAATGTTTTTCCATATCTCGCACAAATTGATTTTGTACGTAGAAAGATGGAAACTTTATTAAAGTGTTTGTAATTTATTTTTTATGTTAGTCCTTTGCTAAACGCAAAATATATTAAAATATTATTTAAGTTTTTCCTACAAAGTTTATATAATAATTGAATTTAAAATCGGTTGTACATCTAGTTTAAATGGTTAATAGTTTTTATGTACACATGTTTTTTAAATGTTAATATAAAAAAATTAATATTAAATGTTGTTACTAATTGAATTAAAAAGAAAATATTATTTTTCGGTTCAGTGAAATTATTTGCTTAAATATTTGTCATTAATTTAAATTATAACTTCATTTTTATATTTTACGTTGAAAAGTGTAAAAAGAAGAATTAAAGTGTGGCAGCTCAGTGAGTTGAGAATAAAAACTTCCAGGTGGCATCCTCACCGATTGGGCAACTCTACTGCAGCACGCGTGCCCGCCAAAAGCCGATGGTTTTTATCGATAACACCTGCAGTGCTGCCACCGTCGCCGCAAATAATTTCTAGTGTGCTTTCCATTAATCAGCCCACAAATTAATAATAATTAATAAGTTCGGCACTACCCATCACACAGCGATCTACCGCTCCCGCCCCAACCCGAGTATCCGTCAATCAGAAAGCTAATGCTGAACCGAGCGGGCAGTGCGCGAAAGTTTCCGACGTTTTGACAACCCATACAGTTGTTCTGCTCTTTTTAAGGCGGCCGCCGTCGCGTCAAGTCTGACAGTGTGAAGAGAAAAATCGTGGTTTTTCACGAAACGCTTGTGTTTTGTTTAATTTGAAGTCAGATAAAATAAAATGGCAGCGGATCAGGCTCAGTTCCAGCAGCTCCTCGTCTCTCTCCTGTCCACGGACAACGACGTTCGCCAGCAGGCCGAGGTGAGTGTGTTTGTGTGTTACATTTTACAGGTCTGCCCGCTATCCGCGGGAGGGGCGGGGGATCTGCACGTCAAATATATGGCCCTCGAATTTTGCAATGCGCAATTTGCAGAAAGTGCACATAGTACACATGGTGAATTTTGCGTGTCTGCTGCCTTTCCTTTTATGAGGCGATGGCCGGCAGTCCCAATATTTTTCGGCAGAATTTCTGCCTGAATCATCGCAGCTCGCACACAAAACGTGTTTTCGCCCTCCACTTTGTCATTCACATTCGCATGCTGTTGCGGGCACGCTGGCGTATGTATGAGTGAGCTAGTATATGTGAGCGTGTGCGAAAGAGAATCGCAGAGGAGGGATGTGCGAAGCAGGCAAACAAAGCAAAATCGAAATCAGAAAGATATTTGTACAATTTGCCTGGGCGCCACATGATTTTTGATTTGAATAATGGGTGCAAAACGGAAACAAAGAGCAGGTGCGAAAATAATCCATGACACACAGTCTGTGGAAATGCAATCTGTTTCGGCTGATAAGGCGACCGGATTGTATTCCGGCGCCACATGGCACCGCCCCAGCCCACCCCACCACGCTCTGCACTGACCTTGAGCGCCAGCCGCCCACGGAACCACCTGCAGTGATGGTACCGCCTTCATTTACCTTGGTGGCGGGCACCAGTTATGTGCCAAAAATTAAGCATGTACATAATCCTATCAGTTATCTTCGTTTTACTCTTCTTATTCAGTAAGAATCTTAATTGATTTGCGGTAATGAATTATTGATAAATACAATTTGTTTGTAAAACATGTTTTATCAGCTTTAGATACTTGAAAATATAAAAAACAAAATATTGCAGAATATATAAAAGAATAAAAGTAGCACAAAAACTGCTTATATTAAATAATATTATTAAATATCGATTTAAAATCATTGGAAATTCGAATTTAATACATCTTTGGACGTTCTTTACCAAGTTTTCCCATTTTGTTTGCACCTTAATCGATTTCAGGAAGCCTATAACAATCTTGCTAGAGAGCTAAAGGTGACGCACCTTCTGGGAAACATCCAAAATGGCCAGCAATCGGAGGAGGCGCGGCAGATGGCCGCCGTGCTGTTGCGCCGACTGTTTACCACTGAATTTATTGAGTTCTACAAAGAGGTTAGCAAAAAAAATAAAAGAATAACTTGTCCTCGCCCTGAAACTAATGTTTTTTTTTACATTTAGATTCCCGCTGAATCCCAAACCCAGCTGCTGCAGCAGATCCTGTTGGCTGTGCAGCAGGATGTGACTCCCCAGTTAAGGCGCAAGATTTGCGAGGTGGTTGCCGAGGTGGCCAGGAATCTGATTGATGAGGACAGCAACAACCAGTGGCCGGACGTCCTCCAGTTTCTCTTCCAGTGCGCCAACTCGCCCAATCCCCAGTTGCAGGAATCAGCTCTGCGCATCTTCACCAGCGTGCCCTCGATCTTTGGCAACCAGGAAGCCCAGTACATCGAGCTGATCAAGCAGATGCTGGCCAAAAGCATGGACGCCAGCTCCGATGCGGAGGTGCGTGTCCAGGCTGTGCGTGCTGTTGGCGCCTTCATTCTCTTCCACGATAAGGAGAAGGAAGCTGCCATTTACAAGCATTTCGCGGATATGCTGCCCCGCATGATCCATATCACTGGGGAGACGATCGAGGCCCAGGATGACCAGAGCCTGCTCAAGCTTCTCATCGATATGACCGAGAACTGTCCGAAGTTCCTGCGCCCCCAGCTGGAGTTTATCTTCGAGGTCTGCATGAAGGTGTTTAGCTCACAGGACTTTGAGGACAGTTGGCGCCACCTCGTCCTGGAGGTGATGGTGTCGCTGTCAGAGAATGCCCCGGCTATGGTGCGGAAGCGGGCTAATAAGTATATCGTTGCCCTGATTCCTCTAGTCCTGCAGATGATGACGGATTTGGATGAGGACGAGAATTGGTCCACCACCGATGTGGTCGACGACGATGATCACAGCGATAACAATGTGATTGCCGAGTCCTCGCTCGATCGCCTTGCATGCGGATTGGGAGGCAAGGTTGTACTGCCGCACGTAATGGCCTCCCTGCCGGCGATGTTAAGCCATGCTGATTGGAAACATCGCTTTGCCGCCCTCATGGCCATCTCGGCCATCGGCGAGGGTTGCCACAAGCAGATGGAGGCCATCCTGGACGAGGTCATGACTGGAGTAATTAACTTCCTGATCGATCCCCATCCCCGAGTGCGCTATGCCGCCTGCAACGCCATCGGCCAAATGTCAACCGACTTTGCACCGACATTCGAGAAGAAGTTCCACAGCCAAGTGAGTAAAATACTTTGCATTAATTTTTCCAGATACTGCACGAATTCTAAATTTAAATTTGTAATAAAATGATTTGCCAATTGCTATTTTTTTTATCAGAAATCTGTCTGCAGTTTGTCGCTATTAATGCCGTGTGCATATTTGTAAATAATCAATTCACACATTGTAAACAAACGTTTTGCGGCGAGTATATAAACAAATAGTCATATCCAATTATTCCGTTAAATTGTTTACTTTTCCACACGAGCCGTGCTTGTTTATAATCCAATTTTGCTATTCCCACGCCAGGTGCTATCGCAGACGTTTTAAATGGCACCTCTGAAACCTGATCAAAATTTATTTAGATAGTGGATTTTTGTAACTTTTCTGGAATGCATGTATTTAATATACGCAACTCGGAACATTTCCAGGTGATTCCCGGTCTGCTGTCCCTGTTGGATGATGTGGAGAATCCACGCGTGCAGGCGCACGCCGGCGCCGCTCTGGTGAACTTCAGCGAGGACTGCCCGAAGAACATATTGACACGCTACCTGAACGGGATTATGGATAAACTGGAATCGATTCTGACCTCGAAGTTGAAGGAGCTGGTGGAGAAGGGCAACAAGCTTGTGCTGGAGCAGGTGGTGACCACCATTGCATCGGTGGCAGATACGTGTGAGGCCGAGTTTGTAGCCTACTACGACCGACTGATGCCGTGCCTGAAGTTCATCATCCAGAATGCCAACTCGGATGATCTGCGAATGCTGCGCGGCAAGACCATTGAATGTGTCAGCTTGATTGGATTGGCCGTCGGCCGAGAGAAATTCATCGGCGATGCTGGCGAGATCATGGACATGCTGTTGGTTAATCACACCGAGGGTGGAGAGCTGGCCGATGACGATCCGCAAACGTCTTACTTGATTACGGCCTGGGCCCGCATGTGCAAGATCCTTGGCAAGCAATTCGAGCAGTATCTGCCCGTGGTAATGGGTCCAGTCATGCGAACGGCTACCATGAAGCCGGAGGTGGCCATGCTGGACAACGACGAGGTGGAGGACATTGAGGGGGATGTGGACTGGTCGTTTATCAACCTTGGAGAGCAGCAGAATTTTGCCATTCGCACTGCTGGCATGGATGACAAGGCCTCTGCCTGCGAGATGTTGGTCTGCTATGCCCGGGAACTCAAGGAAGGATTCGCCGAGTACGCCGAAGAGGTGGTGCGCCAGATGGTGCCCATGCTCAAGTTCTACTTCCACGACGGCGTTCGCACGGCGGCAGCGGAGTCGTTGCCATACCTCCTCGACTGCGCCAAGATCAAGGGACCGCAGTATCTGGAGGGCATGTGGCTGTACATTTATCCGGAGTTGCTAAAGGTCATCAACACGGAACCGGAGCCGGAGGTGCAGACTGAACTGCTTAACTCGCTGGCCAAGTGCATCGAGACACTGGGCCCCAATTGCCTGAATGAGGAAGCCATGAAGCAGGTGCTCGATATTATTAACAAGTACGTCGTCGAACATTTCGAGCGCGCGGATAAGCGTTTGGCCGCCCGCAATGAGGAGGACTATGACGATGGAGTCGAGGAGGAGCTGGCCGAGCAGGACGACACAGATGTGTACATTCTTTCCAAGATTGTGGACATTACGCACGCCCTCTTCCAAACGAACCAGGCCAGTTTTCTGCCAGCTTTTGAGCAGGTGGCACCGCACTTTGTCAAGCTTCTTGATCCCAGCCGATCGGCAGCCGATCACCAGTGGGGCGTGTGCGTCTTTGATGATTTAATCGGTAGGTGTTCTTGTTCTGAATTTGTTTATTATTTTAAACTAAAACCACTTTGTCATTTTTTTTAGAATTCTGCGGCCCTGCTTGCGCACCCTACCAGCAGATTTTCACTCCAGCTCTTTTGCAGTACGTGTGCGATAAGTCGCCAGAGGTCCGCCAGGCTGCCGCCTACGGATGCGGAATGCTCGGCCAGTTCGCCGGCGAACAATTCGCGCTGACATGCGCCCAGATCATTCCACTGCTGGTGCAGATTATCAACGATCCCAAGTCCCGCGAAATTGAAAATATCAATGCCACTGAGAATGCTATCTCGGCCTTTGCGAAGATCCTCAAGTACAACAAATCAGCGCTTACCAACGTGGACGAGCTGATTGCGACGTATTTCTCGTTTTTGCCCGTTTCCGAGGATGGGGAGGAGGCCGTCCATATCTATGGCTACCTTTGCGACTTGATCGAGGGCAATCACCCGGTCATTCTCGGTGCCAACAACTGCAATCTGCCGCGCATCGTCTCCATAATTGCTGAGGCCTTCTGCACCAAGGTTGTGGAGGCACAAAGCCAGACAGGCACCCGCATGCTCACCATCGTCAAGCAGGTGGAGTCCAATCCGGATGTTATGGCGGCCTGTGCCAGCACCCTTAGTCCGGAACAGCAGCAGGCCCTGCAGGATGCCTATCGGGAGTTGGCGAGCGCGGCTACCGCCTAAGCTCACTCTGTTGCTGCCCCGATCGTAGCAAGAAGGAATGGAAGCAAGCTACAGCTAATCGTTATTATTATTTTCATCTGATGACCGACTTTGTCGTCGCAAATGCATTATGAAATATTCGTTAAAAAAAAGAAACATACACGCATACTTACATATATATATATATGTACGATAGAGTTATCCGGGATATATAATTCTATATATATTGTGATTTCAATCAAAAGATCTTCTCTCCCGAAGAATAAAGTCTGCGACTCCTTAGAATTTGACATGTTGTAAGATGGACCGAATCCCTAGGCCATCGCAACATCACACACAAATTCCAATAGATTATTTTCATTACTCAAGTTTTCATATGTTGTATATACATATGTGTGTATATTCGGCCCCCACGGCCGCCATCTCCTTCCCCCCAAAAAAAGAACGAAACAAAAAAAGGATGTGAATGTCGTCCGAATCGACCGAAAAATGTAATTTTGGCATTAAAATTAAAGATCCCAAAAATATTTAAAGGAAATAACATGTAACATTGTATTTTAAAAAGATGATAAGAACGAAATAAATAACACGTCAAACGAAATTTTAATCGAGTTTTCTGCGTTTTGTTTTTTTTACCATCAATATTGTGAAGCTGAACATTTTTCAGTAAAAAGATTTATAAAAGTTGAGAGTTAAAAATACAATATGTGTGGGTTCAGATCTAAAGTACTTTTCTTTTGTTTTTTCGCTGTATGGCTTTTGCTCCTAGAGGGCCTGGAGGCAGCACGGAAAGTGTTTATTATATACGGTTTTTAATATATCAAATAAAGTGTAAATTATGGTCACGAATAATAAATCGGATTCCGTTTTTGTTAGGAATGTAAAATATATTTATTATATTCAATTTATATATTCAATACGCATGCAGTAGTCTTGTACAATTTTATGGTTTTTCGTATCCAAATGTTTGCATAAACATAAATGATGCTTATAAACACTTAAATGGCCAGCACGTGCTTGAATAATGTTAACTTAATACTGATCACTCTGGTTAATAAGTTATTTTATTACTATGAAATAGTTAGTCATTTGCTTTACTGTTTAAAGGTCTACTGGTTCTCAAAATCTTTTATAAAGCTCTTAACGGCACAGATTTAGACAGTTTTATAATATATCAATTAAAATATATCAATATTACAAATAGTCATGACGCAGTACATTAAAATTTGTAGAAAAGCAGCAGTTATTATTTTTCTCCCATATTTACCGTTCGTTCCTATAGCAGCTATATTATATAGTCGACTAATCTGTTCCGTTCTGACTTACATTCTAAAGAGAAAAAGAAAAAACTAAAAAGTTTTAGGACAGACACGACTAGATTGACTCGGCTGTTGATGTTGACTTAGAATATATGTATGTATGTATGTATGTATAATACTTTATAAGGTCGGAAATGATTTCGTGACTCCGTTGCGGTTAGATGAAACTGCAAACTGCAAGGGTATTCCGAAAAACTGCAAGCATTCAAAAAAAAAAAAAAAACGTCCTAAAATGTTATAAATATTAAAAATTATAAATTAAGACAACTGATTTTTTGATTTTTTTTGTCAGTTCATAGTAAAAATATTATCGATATGGAGTTAGTGGTGGATTGGTAATCTTATCACTTCACCATAACAGTTGTAGGTAAAAATTATGATGATGATGTGGATACGATGATGATAAAAATTCTGTATCTTCGTTAGGTAATAATAAGTTAAATGTACAAGTGTTCATAAATTTTAATATAAGGGAATTGTTGATTTAATTGAAGTGTAGGATAAAAAATAATAGCCGTAATTATGAATATTCCTTTTATTACAGTTTCGCATAAAAATAGAAAATAAAATAAAACGATTTTCAATTCATATTGAAATTCAATTTGAAAGGATGATGGTTTTCCGTCATCCCAGTCTGCCCGTGCGAAGTGCTCCTGAACAGCTGATGCTAGTCGCAATGAAAAATAAAAGCAAAACAAAAGTGAAAAAGAGTCAGAACATTCCACAACTCGTCAAGACAATACTAATGTTATTGAGCTATTTACGAATTTAAGCAGTTTTAAGAAAAATAAAATGGCCAAAACAAAACTGTTAACTCAAGGACAAGACGAAAATATCGGTCAATAGTCAATGTAATGTAATGTAAGTAACTAAGTTTGCGAAACCATATCCGTGACGAAATATAAGAAGTGAAACGTGTTCATTGTTTTCAGCTCGGTGACTTAGTGGGCAAAGTGCACGGATCTGTGTCTGTTTTAATCCCACCGTAACGTGTTGACTTTCGACCAAAGAATCTCAGTTGAAAATTAATCCCTAAGGTGAGTGCAACAGGTGGGCGTGAAAAATAGGATGGAATTGAACGCAGAAAAGCGGAAGCAATTTCGCTTCGTTGGCCACAATTCAATTTTGAGAGGCGCCAGCAGCTGCTGTCCTCACAAATTTCAAGAGATTCTGAGGAGAGCAGGCACAGCAGCAGCGAGCTTGTTGACCAATTCGATGACGCATCCCGCTGGTCTGAAAAGTTGATTGCTCTTAGCCCTTTCAGTTTGACTACGTGGACCCCATCGCCAGGATGAATCTGTGCCAGCATGTCGGTTCTTTCCAAGGAAAGAACACTCTTGAAGTAAAACTAAGAGATATTACATATTTATTTCAGATTCTCAACGCCATAATGTCGGAGGAAACGGAATTCCTGGAGGCCTATGCTCGCATCCAAGCAGCTTACAAGGCAGCTATGACCCAGGTGGAGCTGGCCATTAACCACGAGGAGCAGGGCTCCCAGGTTGAAGCCATCGATGCCTACGCACTAGCTTTGCAAATGATAGAAGATACTTTCGGAATTTCTGTCGGCCTGCCTGATGAGATAGATGCGGTGCAGACGGAATGGAATGACGCCTGCGCCCTGATCCAAAAACTTAAAAGCGCCAAGACAGAGGTCAGCTATCGGATGAAGGTGCTCCGATCCCAGAACCAACCCGTTGATGATACTGCCGTGGAGGCCCAGGAGAACAATCAGACGGGAGTGAATTCAGGAAGGCCATGGCTGGCAGAGAACCCTTCCACCCATTACGACATAACCAACGCTAGTGGCACACCGAAAACCTACAGGGAACTAGCTGCTGGATTGCGAGAACTATTGGCTGTTCGGGACTCCCACGCCCAACTGGATGAGCTCTTTCGTGCTCAGGTGAAGATCTACAGGATTGAAGGTAGCGGAGCTGTAACCACTATTAGTGGATCATCCACCATGTCGCTAGTCATGTGCACAGTGGGCGGAAAATGGAAGTACCTCAGTGGAATTTACTTTATCCAATGCTCCATACCGAACGAGGACCCGGGAATGATCTGGCTTTACCCACTGGTACCGTCGATCACCAATTGCTATCGCACGGAGTACGGAGCGTTCATTTTCCCGGATATGGAGTGCCAACAGCCGGGAAATGCCTTCGGCCTAATGCTGACCAAAGAAGGCCAACGTCCACTGAGTACTACAGCCGGGGAATCTGAGGAAGAGCAGCTGCAGGATCTGCAGCAGTTTTTCCTTGATCTGCTGGAGGCTGTGCTTGCTGGTACAGTGGAGCAGTTAAAATCTCCGACCTCCCAACGTGCAGGCTCCGCTTCCGAAGCCGCTACGGGCTCGGAGCAGGTGTCTAGACACATTGTGAGTGCGGCTGATTTCATTGCCCGGAATTTAGTGAAAGGCGCCGAGAAAACAGGTGGGCTCATGATGAAAAGTACTCCCTATCTCATCTCCAAAATGGCTCCAGCTTCAGCCGATGCTCCTACCCAGGTGCCCAGCTCCGTCCAGACTTCAGGTCCGTCTCAATCGTTATCAATTAGAAAGAAATAAACTTCATCCTCTCTTATTTCCGGTAGTGGAAGTGGCACAGAAAGTGACTCACGCAGCTGCTGGGATGACAGGCTGGATAGCTGGGAAAGTAGGCACTGCTTCATTGGCCGTGGGTCGTTATTTAGCTCCTCACATCCAGGAGCAGGGATCAAAACTCTTACAGAAAGGGTTCGGCTACGAAAGCAGCGAGGCGAACAGCACAATGGAAGGCGCCTTGACCATTGCAGCAGGAGCTGTCGAGGGAGTCAGTACCGTGTTTGATGGCCTAGAAACTTCAGCTAAGATTCTGGGCTGCAGTCTCAGCGAGAACTCCGTCAAGATCATTGAGCACAAGTAAGTTAATCTTTTTTTATAATGACAAAGAGTATGCAATGTCTTATTTAAAAACCCTTTTATTTAGACACGAGTTTATTGAAATTGTTTACGACCATGTGCTTTTGTTTTCAGATACGGACAGCCGGCAGGTAATCTGGCTAGTGGAACCTTTGACGCGGTGGGCAATGCCTTTGTAGTCAGCCAGAACGTGAACTACATTACTCCAAAAGGTATCGCCAAAAAGATGGTCAAGCGGACGGGAGAGGCCGTGGTTAGCGATTACAAACGAGACTTACGTAAATCGGAATCTCACTATATAAATGCCGGAGCTCTTTATCCGGATCTGCGGGCTTTGAAGGAATAGCTCCCAACCAAAGATATTCTCATATATTATATTCTATCGTTGATATTGATATTGATTGATAAACTTTTATTAAATAATTTATATTATTGCTTGATATTAGCTTATCTCGAACACTAGTTTAGTATACAAAATAAAACTAAATTTGCTGCTACCCCGCTAAATTCTATTAACTTTATAGTTTAAGGAGGTTGACAATTGTGTGCCAAGTATTCATTCAGCTAAACAAGCACAAACTTAATCAATAATGTCTTAAATGTGCAATTTTTTTTTTTAGATTTAACATTAATTTGGTTACTACGAATGTAAGCTGAGTCATGTTCACTTTGTTGAATCAACGGCAACAGAATCACCGCGTTCTCTATGAAATACATTATAATAATAATAACTTTGGCACGCCAAACTATTGCTGCAAAAAGGGCACAATATTTTTATTTTTTTCTTTGATTTAAAAAAAAAAAAACATGGGCCCGTCGAATATGGGCAACCCTGTACATACATATGTATGTATATGTACATATGTACATATATACTTTATAGGGTCGCAAATGTCTCTTTTACTGCGTTGCAAACTTGTGAATAAAATTACAATACCCTGCAAATTTATTAAAAATATTAAATTTTGTATTAAAAATGGGTTTTGTCTCTTCAAAAGTGTTTTAAAAAAGTCAAAGCATTGTCCTGTTTAGATATCCAAATAGTCTCCGATATAATTCCGCATACAATAAATTAGATTTTGTTCTAGTTATTGTAAGAGTTGTAAAGCATATTTATAACTATGTGGACATCTAAATGAAAAAAAAATACATATATATTAATTTAACTTAGCCGATACGTTGCCAATATTTTCTGGGATTCAGTCATTCAGTCGTATAGGGAAGGTCATGATTATAAAAGTAATAAACGCAGTTAATGGCGGGATCCATAATTTGAAATATGTGAAGGAGCTGCACAAAAAGTGGGCCAACAGAAATTTCCTAACGCCATCCAACTTTCTAGTATTTTTGATCTCTCGTCTCAGTAACAAAGCTGCCACATTAGCTATTTTAACGTCAAATCTATCTTATTCGAAAATATTTTAAAGATATATTTTAATTTAACCAGTCCTTTACGATGAACTATCATCTCAAAAAGTGCAGTAATTTTGTGATTCGCTACTTTGCAAATAATGCCCAAGGAATATAAGCAGTAGTTCAGAAAATCTTTGCTGAAGAGCAAAGAACTCAAGGGCATTTTGCTAAAATAACACACTGTCGCAATGGGCGGCTTACACATCTCTTAAATAAAAGCTCTTATAATAGTTATTGCTACCGATATAGAATATGATCGCGAAAGCGATGTTACTCAACAGGAATTGGTCGACCTTTTAAAATTCCTTTGAAAAGTTCTTAATAAAAGAAAATATTAAGGACATAAAAGCAGCTTTTTCTGCTTTTATTTGGTTCAATATTTGCTAAATTATATCATATATATATTTTTTTTTAAACATTGATTATTAATCGATGGTTTTTAAGAAAATACTGACAAACATCGGCTCTATTAGCCAGCAATTTTAAACTATTTGCCCCCTCACTGTCTCTCTCTCACTGCTTAAAAACTAATTTTTACCGTCACCGACGAAGAATCTCTGAACCTTTCTTTATATGGAATCCCCTTCCTAATTTTTTGGCTCTTAGCTAGGTTGCTAACTTTAAAGGCCATTCCATTTTCAGATATGCTAGATCTAGCCTGAAAAAAGCTAAGCTGGCAACACTGGAACAGGTTATTTACAACAACTTAAACAATACCTTAAACAATAATACAAAAATTTTGCCGCGTTCGGACGTGAGTCGCGGATGAACGCCACTTCGTGATTGGCACGGTAAATTATAAATAAATACAAGAGTGAACAATATTTATTTTAGTTCTCGTGCGGATTAGTGCGCGGTTCCCAGAATCTTTTATTTCTTTTCAATCGATTTAAAAATTACTGTGAAAATATTGCACCTGTTTAATAATGGAAATTATTGTGAATTTGTCGACGGTCTAATTATTGTGTGCGTGTGTGTGTGGGTGTGGGCTGTCTTGCTTGCTGTGTGTGCGTGTTGAGTGAGTACCGTTTTTATTTCGTTGGGAAACTGAAACGGGAAAAAGTGAATAATATACAGAAATTTAAGTTTGTTGCACATTTTACGCCACAGAGAAAAATTATTGGCCGCTACCCAATACCAGTTTAAACAACTACTTACACAAGGGGCTGCCAGCAACAACAGCGACTGTCGCTTATGGCCAACAGCAAAAGCAACAACAACAACAACTACAGTTCTAACAACAGTACACAAACAACAAACACGTTTTCCGTTCTTTTTTTCTGCTTCGCGTTTTCGCCTGCCTGTGTGTGTGTGTGATGCTGTGTGAGAGGGTGTGCGTGTGTACGTGTTGCTCGTCTGCGTATAGAAATTTCTAATGATTTTTGGTTGTCCCCTCCTCCCCTCCCCCCTGAAAAAAGCAGCTCCAAACAACAACAACAACTATTGGGACTCTATTGAGAGTGCGTGATTTTCGTAGCTTGCATATCTCAATTCTTATTTAGAAAAAAAGCCAACGCAGCAGCCAAGGAAATAGAAAAAGAACTGTTAAAGTTTCGAAATTGTGTGGTGAGTATTTTAAACAATTATTATAAACAATACTATATTATAAATTTTGTAATGGAAAAAAATTAATGTGTTAAAAGTTAGTAAGTTGTAAAAAATAATATTAAGTAGTAATATTCAACACAAAATTAAAATCAATTTAAAATAGATACTTTACTTATTGCCGTTATTTTTTTTACTTTTCCTTGATAAACACTCGTTTTACTTGGTAATCATAACACTCTGGATTTGAATTATTTACAAAAAAAATCGTATTTTTATGTTATTTGTATACTGGCTTAGAAATGGAAAAAATATTTAGTTTTAATTTTTTTTAATAACAGTAATGTAACGGTTCGAATAAGGCTTTTGATCATATGAACATTTTCCCTTATGCTTTAATGATTTTCTATTTTACAAATATTTACTTGAAAGAAAATACTATGTTAATTTATTAATGTTCCTCAAGTAATGTTTACTGTTACTTTTAAATGCTTTTTTAATGTTTATCGACAGACAGTGGTAAACACATCAGGAAATTTTCGATCCACAGGCAAAAATATTCTTTTTAAAGAAACATTCCTTTACTAAAGAAGAAAGCAAAGCGAAATAAATTTGTAAATTGTAATTTGTGTAAAACGTAGGATTTAAGACGTGAACTCAATCATTATTTTAGTACGCGCGTTAGTGAACCTACAGGTACGCGATTATATAGACATGTATACATTTATATAGGGCTGTATACTTTTCCAATTCGTCCACAGATTCCAAACTTTCGTGCCCCCCAGCTGCCAATACTTTAAAAATATATTTTTAAAACATTTTTCGCACATTTGACATGCGTTTCTGTGCCTGCCTGCCTGTTCGTCTTATTTTCCTCCGACATTTTCACTTTGCATGCCAAAAAATATCGTAAGCACTTAAACTAGCTGCGTTTAGGCGCCTGGTCATTTATTTTTGATATCATCGTCATCACCTGAGCAACAGGTTTTTAGCTAATAAGGTAATGAAAAAAAAAAACGATGAAGAAACGATGAAAAAATGGCTAAATTATAATCGAAAGAAAAAATCCATCATTGGAAAGTTGATTTGATTGCATTTGCGGAATGCAGTTGCCAGGGTTGCCTAGTTGTGCGACAGGGCGACGCATTTTTCGCCAGCCGAGCACTTGGCTAATATTTCAGGCCGCTTCATGCTTCATTTGATTTTCGAGCGGGCCAACTTTCGCAACAAATCCGCTGACAAGGGCGATTGGATTCGATTGTATCGGATGGATCGGATGGGTTGCTGGGTGTGATGGGTTAGGTATAGTATGGAATCCGATGGGATGGGATAGGAGAAAGGCATTCGAAGTGACCGGTATGGATTACACACCCGTCGACACTCTCCAACTCAAAATGTCTGTGTGTCTTCCTCTGGTAAAACTTTCCTAACTTGAACTTAGCTTTAAAGCTTAAAAACATATGATGATAGTACTGAAACATTATTATCAATTTTACACAATCCTAATATTCGGAAAGACCTTGATATATAAATATCAGCACTTTTTCTTTGTTTTTCAACTTAATATTTATTTTTATTTCCAGCTAAAGAATAGTTTTTTGAAGGTTTAAGTGCAATTTAAGTTTTTAAATTAAAATAAATATTAAAAACTTAATAGTTATTTAACCCTTTTCCATGTTAGTTTGTTAATTTCATTTTTTTTTTCGAGTGTGGTGTGCGGCATTCGAAGGTTTCCCGGCGGCCACAAGCTTTTCCCGCTCTCTGCTTCTAGTGCCACCCACTACAGCCGTAATAAATCGCTCCGGGTGACAGTCTCTCAAGTGGTTGGTAACTTTTTGCTGCAATTGGCAGCAGGGAGAGTGGGGGCCTTGCGTGGGAGCCGCGACGTTCGGGGACATTACACAATTATCCAAAAGCATTTCCCCAAGCGGATAAATTTTTCCCAAACCCCCCACATGAAAATCAATTCCTTCCCCTCCCCCTAACAGTCAGCCCTCCCCCCTGCACAGAGAGAAAGTGTTTATTGTAATTTTCCTATTTCATATTCGAAATCGTAATTAATTTCTTTAACATCAACGATATTCTTTATTTTAACAACTATTTTTGCTTAGAAAAAGTATTTAAATATTATTATATATTAAATGAAAGTATTATTTTTCCCCGTGTATTTTCCTCCTCTATTGACGTTGGTTATTTTCCTTGCCGTCTGTTTTTCGCCGTGCCGTTTCTTTCCGCTGCTGCCGCTGTTTTGTTTATGCTTTTCCCATCTTATTGTTTTTGCGCGCCTCGTGCGTCAATTTATGTGAGTTCAGTTCGCCTGCAAGACGGAAGCGCTTCTTAATGATACAAATAATAGTAGCCGCAGCCAGCGGCAGCTGGAAAACCCGAGGAAAAAGGGTGCCCCGGCAGCTTTTTGCATTTTCCCTCGCACCCCCTCCACCCACCATTCCGCTCCACGGAAAACTCCCCGTGGAAAATTGGCGCCGCTGCTGCTCAAAACTCGTTTGCCGCATAATTTCCAAAGTTGCAATTTTCATTTTTTTTATGGCCATTTGTCGTGGAGTTGTTTTTGTCTGTTTCTTGTTTTTTAGCTGCTGTTTTTTTCTGTACATTTCAATTGAAAGTGTTTGCAGTGCCTTTGCCGGTTTTTTTTCTTCGCCTGAACCATTTCTTCTGGCCGTTGAGGTAATGAGAATTACATAGAAGGAAAGGCTTAATTTTCATAAAATTTTGTAAGTTTAGCGCCTATTATGCCAGCTGGTAGCCAGAGTACTTGGAATTCCGTGAATTTGACTGGCTTTTTCCATAAAAATCATAAGTTGCTTGGGTCAAATTGAGTTATGATTAACCTCTAAGGTTTTTCGATGCTAATAATTGATTTTGGGAATTAAATTAATGAATTTCAACTCAGTTGTGGGATCTTCCCTTCTTTGGGGGCACCTTGTATGAGATTTCATAACAATTTCTGGTTTACTCTCCAGTCTTTCATAACCGACCACAAGCACTTGCCGCTGCCAACACCGAGTTGCCACCACCATCGTTTTCTGGGCCCAGTTTGGGCTTGTCTCTTACCTGTTCCACCACCAAGCGCACAAGTGACACTTGTGCAATTATTGTACAAAATGTTTATTGTCCACTCCCGGGAAGCGGCTGTGTGTGTGTGTGTGTGTGTGAAGTATGGCAGAAAAGAACCCACTTGGACGGTCGGGTTGTTGCTGCGAAACGAATTGTTTTATTTCAATGATGTTCCATGCTTTTCACTACTTGTCTTTTGCCGACGTCACCGGCTCCGAAACAATGTCGGGGTATTTAGTGAAAATGCCTCGGTGTGCGGTGTAGCGGTGGCAGAGCTCGCTTATTAACTTACCTGTTATTCCAACCATTTTCAGTTTTCACACGCACGCAGGTCTGGAAAATGGTAGATGGAAAATGCACTTGCCTGTGGATTAGTTCGCCCTCGCTGGGATTTCTTTTGTCCGTCCCGCTTTCCCGCTCCCGCTTTCCTCAATGAACACGAACGGAAATGCCTCGGGGGGTGATTTCATTTCAGCCGTTCAGTTGCAATACACGTGGAAAAATAATTTGTATACTTTAGAGTATATTTTGTATTCCAAAATGGTCTATTCTGTACCATAAGCATTAAAGAGGAACTATAACTATATATTTTCAAGCATACCCAAGACTTCCAAGGGAATATTTTAAATCTATAATGAAAATATGAATGAAGTATTTCCTTTTTTTCCCCTGTGTCCCATGCTGTTTTCTTGGCCTAAAAAAGGGATGTTGCCTAGAATTGTTTCTCTTTTTTTTTGGTCCCTTTGGAATTTTGAGCTAGAGCTCCTATCAAGATCTAGTAAATTGACGGCGCCCAATGACTATTTATTGGTTCGAATTCGTGAGTATACTGTATAATTAAAATGCAACCTGATTGTTAACTTCGGTCTCTCGGGTTCAGCCGGCTGCTTATCATTAAAGCGCGATTAGTTTCGAAGCTTGATTTAATGCCTCGCCTTGAGAGAAGAGATTTGTTCGATTTTTAATGAGTTGGACTTGTTGGTTCGTAATCAGAGCGGCGATCATGTTATTAGCGTCTGTTTGAATTAATAGTTATGATCTTGAAAAGATTCCCGCTTGCCAGAGGAAATAACCCAAAACTGAACTTGTTTATTTAATTACTCATTAATGTCCCCAAGGATGTGTATGCCCCTAATTGAAAATGTCGAATACATAAGCATTTGGCTTATCGCAGCTGTGATGCAACTCCCCTCAGACAATTGTCAGCTTTAATTTCGCCAGCCACCCACCCAAAGGATACATTCCTAACATATGTATGTATTTGTCTGTGAACATTTTGTATATAAGTGGCATGTATATAAAATACAAACTGTTGACCTAGCTCCAAGAGCACTGGCAGAATTAATTGCCACAGGCATTTGTTGTGTGTATAACGCACAAGTGTTGAGAGTTGCTTCGGTTCTGTATACAAATTCATGTACATACTGCTCTGTTTACGCCTAACAGTGGCAGGATAACAGAGCTAAGAAATGCACAGGAGAAAGGACATACTGCTTATGTAAATGTAGAAATTAAGACAATATTAAAGTACTGTGATTAAACTCATTAAATTGATAAATTACTTCAATCTGTTCAAGGTAGATCACATTGATATTGATCTATTACGATTTATAAACCCTTATTTAGCCAGGTTCCTTTTATGGTTCTTGAAGTGTAGAAAATTCGTTTGTGATATATGTTTGAAAATATAACTCCATAATCTTTAAGCCGTATTGAGAAACAGAGCTACTAATTTAAGTAATATTAATCTAACAGAGGATTCACATTCCTATGGGAGTACATGGAATATTTTCACATTGATGTAACTTTGGCCACCCCTAACAACCACCCCATAAACCTATCCCAACCCCACCCCTGTTAGCCTGTTAACAGAGCAGTTAGGGGATGGGAAACCAACAGCTGTTCCCCGTTCGGGGCGTCGCTCCCGAAGTAGAAAAACGAGTGCA